CCGCGGAAGGTGCGCAAGGCCGGATAATGGAAATAATTAACAGGATCGTGTTCGGGCCCTCGTGTAACGTCAATAAATTCGGGAAATAACGGGGCTGTGAAAACGATCGCCAACGCGACGGTAATTATCTGTTTGGACGCGGGAAAAAACCGTTCGAGGAAGAACTCTCGCTCCGTGGCATGATTTTCGAAGTTGAAACTTCGGTACCGGTATCCGCGTGAATCGTTGAAGTTAGGCTTACCGAAAGGCGTCGGTTTATCAGTTGTCCAAGTTTCGGCGATAACTTGGTGTTTGATAAGTCGATCGTGATAGCGCGAGTTCAGCGATAACGAACAAGCGTGACACGACGGCTTTATTCGGGGGAACGGTGCTCGGCAAATTTGTTAGAATTTCCAGCGGGAGAAGAGCGAGAGAGACAAAGAGGCGCGGGGGGAGAGCGAGAGAAAGAGACGAGGTACGCGATCCTCGGTTGATTTCGATCTCTCGAGTCTCGAGTCACCCGATGGTGGTGAATTAATCACGATCGGAAGGCCCTTTATCGTTCTCTGTTCTCCCCGGCAAAAGGTAGTCCGATAAAAAGCTCGATCTCTCAATGGGAATTTCAAAGTCCACCAATAATTAACCGACGAGCGTCACTATTCTCTCCGCCTCTCCCTTTCTCTCTCTCTCTCTCTCTCTCTCTCTCTCTCTCTTTTTCTCCCGTTCCGTGAGCTCTCCTATCGCAAATTACACGCCGTCGAACGTGTCCCGAATCTAGTCCTTAATGAATCATTATTTCCGATCTGACGATCGCTCTCTCTCTCTCTCTCTCTCTCTCTCTNCTCTCTCTCTCTCTCTCTTTTTCTCCCGTTCCGTGAGCTCTCCTATCGCAAATTACACGCCGTCGAACGTGTCCCGAATCTAGTCCTTAATGAATCATTATTTCCGATCTGACGATCGCTCTCTCTCTCTCTCTCTCTCTCTCTCTCTTTCGTTCTCTATCTATCTATCTATCTATCTCACTGCTCCCCGTTCTCCTCCGAAACGAGGAGAGCCGGTCACAAACGAGATGCGCCGAGCGAGCGTGCATAATGCACGCTGTCGGAGCCGAGGCAGGAAAAAAGTCGCGGGAAATCGGCGAACAGCGAGGTACAGGGAGGGCCGCGAACGCGATATCCTGCTAACGAGCCGGTAATGGGCCAATAATTTCAATTTGCCGGTAGTTGTCGTCGTCGGGCGCGCCACGCGCAGCAAAGATTTCGCGAGACGGCCGACCGCGTTCAGGAAACTTTCTCGCGTTCCGCGCCGCGGAAACAACCGGGAAAAGCCGGGCTTGGATCGAAAATAACACACCTGTGCCCGTTCGGCAAGGTGTGTCTCGGAGAGGCACCTCTATAAAATCATTCCACCGCGAATGCTCCTATAATATTATTCTTAGGACGACTATAAATAACGCTTCGCCGGCGAAAGCCGCTCCGCGCGACCACTAACTATAGACTCGTTTAATAGAGCGACGACATCGTCGCCGACTTGCTTGCTTGCTCGTCGTCCCGTCGACGACCGCCCCTCGTTCCACGTTCTCCCGAGGGCCTGCACTTTTCGCCCGAATTTCACGGTACATCCTCCGCGACACCGATCGGCCTCGTTAACGAGCGACGTGTATCAGCTGGGGAAATGGGCTGGCACGCTCGCCCCGCGGTTCTTGCCGTAATCAGTGCGTGGGCGGTGTCGCGGGACCGAATCTATGCTCCATTACCAGCGAAATCCGCAACCGAGCCCTCGGGGACCCTTAAACGCGATCGGAGGATCGCGCGCGGCTCTTAACGAATCGCGAATCTCCGGGAGCATGTACTCTGGGACAGGGCTCGGAATTAAGGGCACCGAACACGGCGACGTCGAGGTCTACGCCTCCCTGACTCCCGTCGCGGCGTCCCGCTCCCCTGTGGTCTCCGCTTTCCGCTCGGAACGCGTGCCTGTTGCTTCACGCGTGCCGCGTGTCGCATTTGAGCGACCACTGACGAGCGAGACGCGAGCCGGGAGGCGTAGCCGCCGGCGTCGCCGCGGTGCGTGCACTTAATTCCGAGCCCTGCTCTAGGAGACGCGTTCGCTTCCAGAGCAAACGAATCCGAACAGGGCTCCAATTTGGCCGAAGAAGCCGACGATTGGAAGAAAAATTGTCGCGACGTCGCTCGATCATGACGGAGCCTGGTCATGCCCCGGAAATTGGCCATACCGGTCGCCGTAAATAGAAAACGATAGTTCGAGGACGCCGCCGTGGAACGACTGAGACTTTCGGACAGGCCGGACGGTTCCACGAAACGGGGTGGGCGGGAAAAAAATATACGACAGTCAGAAGCGAAGAAGAATAGGGCGAAGAAGGGAAAACCCGGAACTGGGGGAAGGACGTGGCAGGATGAAACACCGAACCTGTGCATATGGGGCTCTCGGGGCTTAACCTTGACCCTCGTGGAACGCGAGACTCGCCGCACCCCCGGGCAGACCCTTCTGCTTCCGAGTGTCCTAACTGCTTCTTCGATTTATCCCCGGCTTCGAGTTTCTTATCTCGCCCAGCGGAACAACGCGGGCCCGCTGATCCGTTGCTTCATAAGTTCGCGATAATTGACGATCATCTGGAGGAGGGGAGATCTTCGAGGTCGCGCTTCGCGCGATGTTCTGGCTGGATGTGTTCTAACATCTTTAGTCCGAATTATGACAAAATGACAAGTTATTAATTTGACCGAAATAATTTTGACCGTATTCTTTGACTGTGTCTTGACGGTATTTTGACGGTATTTTGACGGTATTTTGACTGTATTTGACTGTATTTGACTGCATTTGACTGTATTTGACTTATTTGACCGTATTTTACCGTATTTGACTCCATATCACTGCATTTAACTGTAGTTGACTGCATTTAACTGCATTTGATCGCATTTGATTGCATTTGACCGCATTTGTCTGTATTTGACAGTATTTGACTGAATTTCACTGTATCCTCGAAGCAATACAAGGACAATTTTTCCTCCCATTTTTTTGTCCACTAATTTACGATTCTTGCAGTTTTCCATCCATTTGTTCAATAAAATAGACTTCTTCTACACTTCGAGAACCATCAATTCCGCGAATTTATTCATTTCTTTGGTAGAGCCTTCGCCGTCTCAAACGTACGACGAGCAGAGACCAAACTACATACAATGTATGTATGTAGTTCCAAAATCAAACGATGCGAGCGACAGATACATTGTTGCATCGCACGCATCGTCGACTCGGTCGCGATCATCAGATGTCTTTCGTTTGTTCGTTGTTTCGTTTGTTCGGACGGTGGGACGACAACGATTTCGTCGTCGTGCAACATCCAGCTAGAACATAGCGTTGGACCACCGCGTTGTCGTTCACGTCGTCGTCGTCGTCGTCGTCGTCGTTGCAGACGCGTCTCGGTTTCCTTGGGAACGGGGTGCGGGGACAGGGACGGGGCCGATTTGCTCGGCGCTTGGACAGCGGAATTAGCATACCGCGCGAGAAAAAGCTCTCGCGAAACTTCGCCCCTGCGTCGTTAAAGCGGAAAGCGGCGGGGGCGGAGCCTAGGTGCAAACAGAGAGCCGCGTGTACCGAACGAGAGAAAAAAAGAAGCGGCCCCGTTTATTCAGCGGGTCGGGGGGGAAAGCGAACGGAAGACGCGTCGAAAAGTTTAAATAATTGCGCTCCCATCTGGTCCGCGGCGCGGGTTAATTAAAGCGAGCAACGGCGCGACGTAGATACCTGGCCGAGATACGTCGAACGCTCGTCGAAGGCTTGTTCCTCGTTGCCGAGGAGGATCCAATTCGCGCATCCTTCGCGTCAGATCGAAACGCCTCGCGTTTGTGTCGCGCAAGCAGCGGACGATATGTCGATGTGTCGTGATTAGGCGGGAAATATGTCGCAGAAATGGCATAGCAAAAAGACAAAGAAATGAATGGAAGTGATGAAGTGCGAAAGATGCGATAGAAGATGAAATAAGGGATGAAGATAATTAAATAAAATGAAAAAGGGAGGCGATAATAAAGAATACTGTGTTATTCTTGAAAGTGGAAGATCGGTAAAACAAAAAGAAATAAGATTAGAATAAATAGGAAGAGCACGAGCGAGAAACTTATTCTGTCAGACAGCGGATTTTTATACGAAATAAAAAATTTCATCAGCTCATATCAAACAGAAATTAGATAAAAATGTATTTCTTCTTTCAACGATACTAATACAATAAAAGTAACGTCGTAATATTTTTAAATTCTTCTTTGGCTTCACTGTTCTGCGTATCCGTTTTTGTGATAAACGCAAACAAATCCGCGGTCCGCTTATTGTTGTTTATACATTTGCGCAATGCGTGTTGCGCAAGAATACGCGTCACGTTGATGGCAAGCCGTTGATAAATATATACGGTGACTGTACACACGGGTCCGAACGGACCCACCTTCGCCGCCTGACTGTTAAAAGCGTGCTCCGACGCCATTCCGCGATTATTCCACGGAGAGAACCGAGTGGCCGGGCTTTCGCATTATCCGGCCAGAAAATTCCGGCCTTATCTCGGCCACAATGACTCGGCTCTCCTGGCTCTATCTGTCCTCCATTCGGCCGTGTCCCCGGGGCGACGCGCATATATTCAGTCCTCGCTCTCTCGCGAATTTTCAATCACATCAGTCGCGACGAGGTTTCGAATCGCTCCGCGCTTGTTATCTGTATCTCGAAAAAAAAAAAAAAAAAAAAACGAGAAAGAGGAGGCTCAAAGCGCGGCAGCGCGCCGCCCCCGATCTGTCTTTTTCAATTCGCGTGCGGCCCCGGCGCTGTCATTCTTTTCAATGCCGTTTGTGTCCCCGCGCTCGCGAAACGACTGATTCCAGATTGCTTGTTTCGCGGATCGCGGAATGCATCAAAGTGCATTGTCTCTTTCGCTGTTATCGCGGCGTCGTTGTTTTCGCGACGAACGAGCGCGTCGTCGAAGGCGGACGGACCATTCACCGGTGTCGTTTCTCGTTGATTCGCAGGGTCCAGGAAGAGAGAGAGAGAGAGAACCAGCTGAGACGAGGAGCACGAAGGTCACCGGCCACCGAGGTATAATTAGTCCGCCGCTTATGGGGCCAGCGGACCGCCCCGCGTCTCCCGCCGCCACGTCGCTCGGAAAATCGGACTTTGTTCGAACACGTGCGGACCAGACGCGCCTTCCAACCCTGGGAAACCTCGGCCCGGAAGATCCTTGGCCCGCGGAGGACTTCCAGAAACGGTGGTGGAGGACTTCCCGACTCTTTTTACGGACAGAGTGGATTTTCCAAACGGGAGCGCGCGGCCACGGTGTATGTATAGACCGGCAATTAGACTGGCGCGCTATTAATGGAAGGAACCTCGCTGCAGCTTTCATCGGTGTTGCCTAAACAAGGTACGAGGACCGGAAACCCTGCTGCTGTCACACCGGTGGACCAGCATCGTCGCCGGGTTTTTAAGATTTGTGTTAATCGTTGCAGAAGCTCGGACGTCCCCGGAGCCCGGCGATGGCGGGGAGGAGGGGGATGGATGCTTTGAGATTTTTCAGACAATTCGTTTGCCGGGAGACGGAGGAGCAAAGGGCGGCAGGGGCAATTGCTCGGGACGTCGGGGGAGGAAGGCGCAGGTATTCTTTCCAAGGCGGAACACTTTACTGCTGCTCGTTCCGCGCTGGTAATGGAGAATCCCCCAGCCACCCCGAGGAATTAATTCGGGGCTAACGCCGAGACACTCCCCGATATCGAGTCACTTTGCTCTCCGCGGGATCGCCGTGTTGGCATCCGCTCGCCACCCTCTTCGGGGTTAGCTTCTCCTCCCTCGTTCCCTCCACCGTTCCTCTCGGACCGTACTTTTGGACCACTTTGCCTTTTCCAACGGGCTCGAAACGATTTCTAATTGGCCCCCTAATTTCCCTAGCTCTCTCCTCTCTCTCTCTCTCTCTCTCTCTCTCTCTCTCTCTCTCTTTCTCTCTCTCTTTATATCTATCTATATATCTATCTATTTATCTCTGTCTCTCTTTCGAATTTGTTTCAGTAGGTCATCCGACGGAAAAAAGAGAAGATCCGGCCCCGAAACAAGGGAGGAACCGGCGTAACGGTCGCTGGTGCAGCAGACTGGGAGCGTTTGGCTCCGGTTCGCGCCATTAATCGTGCGTTTAAACGGGCCGAGCCTCTTTATTGCCTAGACCGCGGTTTTCAAGATGAGAAGCGAGCTCCTGGCGACGTTCCACGAGAACCGACAAACTCCCGCAGCTTTTTAATTAGCCCGGGAAGAAATCGTTGGAGAGAACACCGGAACACTCCTCTCTCCCTCTCTCTCTCTCTCTCTCTCTCTCTCTCTCTCTCTCTCTCTCTCTCTCTCTCTCTCTCTCTCTCCCTCACTTTTTCGCCCGTCTCNTCTGTTTCTCCCTCACTTTTTCTCTTCCGCTTCTCTGCCCCTTCTTTCGCGAGCCTCTTCTTCCTCGCCGCGGCCCCTAAATACGTAATTAAAACTCGCTGGAATCACGCTGTACACCGAAATCGTGTAATTGCCGACCGATTCGCAACCACCCGGCGGAATTACACACATTGTCGCGCTAGAACCGCACAGATTTCCGAGCTTCCTCGCCGCGGTCTCCGCGCTGATTCCGCTCGCAGTTCATTCGCCTTCTGCATCTTGACGGTTTCTGTTCCTCGAAACGAGAGGTTCTTTCGTTTGAATGGATGGAACACAGTAGTCGTGCAATTTGAAGTAGGAAGCAGTCCTCGAAAAGTTCATAGAACCGTCCCTTCCGAGTTTCAATGCTTTACGATGCAACGAATCCCCCGCGCGATGTCGCAGGCCGGCGACGAATCGGCGAGATCGCGCTAAGTTTTCCTCGGAATCGTTCCAATTAGGCTGCTCAGCTCTTAGCCAGCTGCATTATTTCAAAAGCGTCCGTTTTCCGAGGGTCATACCACTCGAGCCGGACCAAAGCTGTTCCATTGGCCCTCCTGCAAACACTGCAGAGGCCTGTAACAGCCATCCACTGGTTGAAGTGTCTCGAGGAATCTCCTAAAGTCTCTCCCTCTCTCTCTCTCTCTCTCTCTCTCTCTCTCTCTCTCTCTCTGTCTCTCTGAAACAGAGAGCTCGGGTCGCGGAAGAAGATACTCGTGGTGTCGCATCAATGAGAATGAGACGTCCCGAAATTCTTTCCGGAGGACAAATAAACGAAGACGCGGCCCATTGGCGCAGCATCCTCGGGCAGCCGGTAGAGAGACGGACGCGGTTCTCGCGTCGCGCGCGAAAGATTCGTTCTTGATTCGGGGGCGAAGAGGGGCATTCCTCGCAGCTTGATTCCGTCGGTGGAGGGGGCGGAGCAGGGGGCAAATGTGGTGGGGCAAGGAAGGGAAGTTCAAAGATGGCGCTACGGGCGATAGATACGAGCCGAAAGGAGAGGGAGAATGAGAGAGAGATTGCGTCACCGTCTCTCTCTCCCTCTCTCTCCCCCCACTCCGCCGACCGACAAGGACTGACCGGGCTGAAACGTCCGAACGCGACCGTCGGATGGTTCAGTCGTGCGCGAGACGGTTTTCGTGGCGGGTTGTGCCGGTGGTTTCCGCGTGATCGATGGGGCTCTCTCCGGTTGTGCTCTCGCGAAACACGTAACGTCGCCGACCAATCCCCGGTTCGGTTACATCAGCATCCCCGGCTTGTTGGCTGGCCGCGATTGGCCCCGGTGCACCTCGCGGGAGAACCGTTCACGGTTTTCCGGCGAATCAGTGCCGGCCGTCTGTGCGTGTCCTGCAGAAAGCCGCGGGACGAACGGAGCGGAAATTCGCAGCGGGATTTTCGACGAGAGTGGAAAACGCGTGCCGCGCGCGCGGCCCGACAAAACCCGCTCCGAGCGAGCGAGCGAACGGAGAGGAGGGTATTTTGGACGCAGATCGATCGGACGAGGTCTCTGCCGCGCGCCATGTGACCGGTCAAAAGGACCACTTAGGACGCTCGGATGCGACGCGATCCGGACCCGCGAAAATCGTTCCCTAATCGTCGGACGTCCGTGCACGCGCGCGATTTCGCTCGGCTTTCGAAAGTCGATCGGCCGTAGAATCATCGCCGGAAGTCTTCGCGCGAATCCGACGAGTTCCTGCTGCCGCGAAATCGAGGAACTTGCCGAGCGAATTCGGACATGTGCACATATTTTCATCTCGTCGCGTTTTCGTCTAATTTTCTACGAATTTTTCTTTGGATTTGTCGGGGTGCGCTCGATCGGAGGAGAGGGGAAGAACTTCGCCGGTTCTAGGCTGTAAGCACGGTTTGTGCGGGCTCGCGAGATATTCCGGTCGTTATCGGTTTTTAGGAACCGGAAATAGCAGCACCGCGCGCTTTCAACGTTTCCTCCTCCTCTCTTATCGGGGATTCTTGTATTCAGCCGCACCGCAGCAAACGCGATAGCATCAATTACATCACGGCCGCGATTGCATCCAGAGTGCGCGCAGCAGCCGCCGAGGCAATGCTGTTAAAAAATTACTCGGAACCTCTCGCACGCGTCCCACGGTCTCCGAGCAATTTTTTAATCGAATCACGCGCGCGCGATGGCGGTAGGTGTCGGAGCCACGACGGACGCGAGCGGATTCGATTCTGAAAGCCGTGCAAATTCGCCGACCGTGTTTCTCTACTGACTGGCGCGTGGTGCAGTGTCGTTGTCTCGGGTCAGATGTAAAAATAAAAGGAAACACAGACGCCTGTCTCAAGGCTATCGTGCCGCGTATTGTCTCGGCCAGGACCGTACAATCGAGCGACGGTGTGTGTGCAGCCTCCCCGAAAGGCTCTTTTTTCGTTCGTCCGAATTTCGTTCAGAAACTTTTGGGTCTATTCGAAACCCGGCAGCATCTCTGTGTCGCGCGATTCCATGGCCGCGCAGCAAAGTTCGCGCGGTAGCTTCCCTAAACAACCGCTTTTCTCGGAAGAGAAGCTTTTTTACCCAGGTTTTCGCGAAGGGCATCGATCACAGCAGCTCCTCATAAAGTCTCTCTCTTCCTCTCTCTTCGTTTATACAGCCGACGGTTTCTCGGTTCCCCGAATGCGACGACGCGGATGTACACGCGCGGATACTCTTATCGCGGTCTCGCGAGCCGTGTGCGCGTTTATACAGCGTTAAAAAATCCTCCCAAGGAGAACGGCCCGAAAAACAAGCTGGTGCTGGTGGTGCGCGAGAAACGCGGCCCGCCTCGGTCCGAATTTCACGTTCGGAACTATGGTTCGATTTATCCGGGAAATTCCGAAATACGAACACACGGTGTCGCGACGAACTTTCCGGGATAATTTCGTAGATTAATAGCCGCGCTGGCAGAGCCAGAGCCTCTGTGTGCCCGTGTAAAACGACCTCGAAATCATTGCCACGGAATTTTAGGACGCGACGCTATCGCGAACCGTTTATCTCGATTGTCCCGTCGCGAACGCGCTCGCTCCAATTTTCCAGCAGCAACGATCTCTGGTTGCAGCGTTTCGATTGCTCTATTTGTCGATCGGAAACAGTCCAGACTTCGGTCACGATCTGAAGGAACTGGAACGGTTTGAACTTTCGATATCAGTGTCAACTTTTTTCGTTCGAGCTTAGAACCGCGTTCAACTCTTCGCCAGAATCGTCCAGCAGCAGCCGCGGCTCTTCCTGGAGCTCTTCCAATGCCTGTTCAACCAGCCCGCGCGCTTTTTCCGTTGCGAGCCGACTGTCAGCCGGTCGATCGGGCGATAACGAGGAAGGTTAGCGATTAAAGTCGAGGCACGAGCGTTCTGGCCGCGACGCGATATCTGGCGTTTCCGTAGTTTATTTTCGATTGGTCGGTTCCCAGGAAACCGCGACACAATGTTGGCTTTTTATAGTTCCCCTTCGGGGCCGGCGGTCTCTGCTAACATGGTTGCACGTGCGTTGCATCGGTTGGGTCCCTTGCCGCGAGAGAGCCACGTGTTCTCGCGGCACATTCCTGCGGCTCTCGCGATACTCTCTCGCGCTTAACCTTCGGGGCTTCGTCTTTTAACACGCTCCTATGAGCCTTCGGTAAACAGCGGGACGCCGTAAAAAAAGGAGGACTGTGTTTTCCGTCTATTTATGGGGAGTAGTGGAGTTCAGTGTCCAAGAACGACGTATATGTGTGTGTGCGCGTGTGTGCCGCGCGATCGCGTTAGAGGCCTTAGACAGCGATAACTGGAACGACGCCGTCGCCGTCACACAGATAACGCGCGCCTTTTGCTTATCCGAGAAATCGAGACCCGCCGAAACCTTGAGACACCCGGATTAATTCGAGCCCCGACAGTCTCGCGATACCAGGTAAACTCGGCTTTTACGGCTCTGCCACGTATAGGAGTAATTAAAAATGGACGATCCTGGAAACGCGAGTTCCTCCGTCGGCGCTGTGTCGCGAACATTTGTTCCGGAGAACCACCGAACGTCGTTTCGCGAGTTCCAATAACTTCGACAAATCTCGCTAAAGAATCGGGCCCCTTAATTTACAATTGTCGGACGAACCTCGACAAATCCTGGAACACGGAAAGCGATCGTTTCAATCGTGCGCGACTGCAAAGCGTTGTTTCACAGCTGTTGAACACGTGGATCTTTTTAGCGACGCCGCGGACGAAGACGCAGAACGGCAGCGAGCCGCGTGTTTTATGGAAGCGACATTGTCGATTCGTCCTTGACGCGGCGGAACAGGTTCAGATCATGGAAACAGAAGCCCGCGGAGTAACGGCAATTGGGTCACATACGCGTCTGATCAGCGATCTCTGAATCCAGTGGCAGCGCGAGGCCGCGGCGGACGTCTATCCGATCGATACCAATTAAACCACGGGCCGCTGATCTAAATCACCGGAAACCCCGTAAGGGGGCGGCTCCGTTCGCAACCCCCCGGCTCCTCGGGAATTCGCCGCCTTGGCTTGGTATTTTGCAAATTAATATCCCATCGCGTCCGCTGAAAACGATCAACGCCGAACGAACCGCGAACGATCTTCGGACCCAGTACGCGTTTCACGTTGTACAGACTTGCAGTCTCGATTCTTTTTGATCTCCGACAGTGAATTCTAGCGAAGAAGCACGCGCACAGTTGGTAATCTCTTTCGTTCTTGGTAGTTAACTGAAAAATTCGAGCAGAGCCGCGTTAGCAAATTCGAAGCTGCGGAACGTTTATGCAACTCGGTGCTGTTCCGCCGCGGATCGCACGAATCACGCGTTTAACAAGTAAGAATGCGTTCGACCGCGGCAAAAAGAACGCGTATAGCCCCGAGGGACCCGGCGCATGGATCTGGATCTACCGATCGAGGTTTTTCAGTCGCGTCCCGCCCGTAAGACTTTCGTGCGGAGAAACGCGCGCGATTCTACGTAATGGATTGAAAAACTGAAGAAACTGGCCTGGTCTGGTCCAAGGTTAGGGATGGCGCATTGTATAATAGCCACGCGGAGGACTCGATTCAGGGCCGTAAAAGTCGGGCGGCCGCGTGGGGCGACGCGCGATCTATTTTTACCCGAGGCTTCGAACTGCGAAACTGAAAAGCCTCTGGCGCACGGAAGATCCATCCTCCCTGCTGCCTTGTGTTCCCCAGCGAGAGAGAGATATATATTAACCTGCGAAACGAGTTAACGAGCCGATTCAGCACATCGCCTCTATCTCCATGCAAATTCCACGATAATAGGCCGCGACAGCGTCGCGAGGTGAATACACTTGAGAATCATTTTCATTCGACCTTTGACCGGTATAAAAGAATAAGTGACCCCGCGATGGAAGCACCAGAGACTCTCGGATCCGGTGGAATTTTCTGTACGTTAATTCCGGTTACCACTTCCTCGCTGAATAATCGTAAGCGTTATGTTGAGAGTTTTCTTCGTTACTTTCGACGTTATAACATTGTCGTAGCTTTGCTCCCTCTGGACGCGTGAAATTGTGTATAAGATTGTATGTAAGATTTTTGAGGTCAGTGAGCTGCTCTCTTCGCAGGGTTTCTCGAACTGTTATAGAGGAGATTTCTCCAATATTAAGAGTTTTCTTCGTTACTTTCGACGTTGTAACATTGTCGTAGCTTTGCTCTCTTTGGACGCGTGAAATTGTGTATAAGATTGTATGTAAGATTTTTGAGGTCAGTGAGCTGCTCTCTTCGCAGGGTTTCTCGAACTGTTATAGAGGAGATTTCTCCAATATTAAGAGTTTTCTTCGTTACTTTCGACGTTGTAACATTGTCGTAGCTTTGCTCTCTTTGGACGCGTGAAATTGTGTATAAGATTGTATGTAAGATTTTTGAGGTCAGTGAGCTGCTCTCTTCGCAGGGTTTCTCGAACTGTTATAGAGGAGATTTCTCCAATATTAAGAGTTTTCTTCGTTACTTTCGACGTTGCAACATTGTCGTAGCTTTGCTCCGTCTGGACGCGTGAAATTGTGTATAAGATTGTATGTAAGATTTTTGAGGACAGTGAGCTGCTCTGTTTGCAGGGTTTCTCGAATTGTTATAGAGGAGATTTCTCCGCGAACGACTAGCTGAAACGTACAAAAGGGGAATTCTTCCGCGTTATCGATCCCCCAACCGTTATCGGACTAGGGAAACCGTTGGTATTTACAGAGCAGCCGATAATTCGAGTTTCATCTCACTTGGCCCGTTGTGCTGCAATGAGTCAACGGGGGCGCCCCCTCCGCCACCCTCTGCTCGCGGGATCTTGTTTGTCGAAAAACCAGGCGGTTTTTGAATGCGCTCTGTCGATGTATCTCTCTCTCTCTCTGGTTTAGTGCCCGCCCTGTCTCCGAGCAGCGCACAGACTCGCTGACAAAACACGAGATTACTCGGCAACGACGCTGTATTCTCTGTAATCGGGAGCAAACATGAATTTCGCCGGCGATTAGATAATATTATGCGATGGAAATGTGCAGCGTGTGTTTGGCTGCCAACGAAAAAAATGGCCAATCGTTGAACCTTCGTCCGGTAACGCTGAGAGGAAGAGGAGGCCCCCCGAACCCGCGTGTGGATATTTGAGCCGTTTATTATGAAAGTGGCACAAGTCACTTTGTTTCTAAGTCGATATATTTAAGGGTTTGCGTTTTAACACGTTTAAAAATATGGATGCTAACTTTCGAGAAGATTTACTTGTATTTGTTATCTCGGAATACTGATATTTTTCTCAGTATAAATAATTTCGTATAAACATTAAAAAATCACCACTTTTCATTACGGTAAAGTGACTTGTGCCGCTTTCAAAATAAACGGCTCATTTGGTGCGAACGAATCGAGGAAACAGGAGGGCGAGTGGAATTTCGAAGAAGAGGAAGTCACGTGGAGCAACACGTATCGTGCCCAAAGTCCCTTATCATTCTCCTGTCCGGTGTAGAGTTTTTAGACGACTGGACGGAGAACTGATAAGGGCCCGAGGGTCACAGATTCATCGCGGGACTGGCCCCGATGCGCGGAGAAACGTTCTGGGAACGTTTTTAACGCGACGAAGCACTTTGTACACCGGCAATAAAGATATTCGAAATGCTTGACGAAAAATATTTTCTCGAATTATTCAACCCCTGTCATCCACCCCTAAGTTATCCATATAAGATAGAGTATTGTTATTCGTATAATAATATTTTAGATAGGATAATAAACGTAATCTCGTTGATCGGCGTTCAAACCTTGAATGGACAACCGAGTCCCCACTTTTTTTTTGCACTCCGTTACAAGTATTATAAAACTGTTAGAACTATACTTAAGCATACTAGCTCTAGCCGCGCGAAGGTTAAACCAATAATTATTGAATATCTCGGGGTATAGTTTCTAAAAATAGATGTGTGCAATAAATGTACACTTAATGTTCTAATGTTCGCGCAGGTGTGAATGGTGTAAAACATTTCAATACAAAATACTTCTCTTTATTTCTGTGTAAATAAATAAAAAAATTTTGTATATGTACAAACGTTCCCCGCACTTACTTCATTTTCCTTTGAAAGAAAATTAATATCAACGATCGACCAAGGTTTTCGCAACAACCCCTGCTGCGTCGAGCTCAAGCATCCGTGGTTTTCTGTCCGTGATCGATCTCGTAATTAGGATTAATCTGGATGATCTGCCTCGGAGCGGCGTCCTCCACTTTTCTGATCGAGTTTTGCACGATCAGGATCTGCTTGGTTTCCTCCTTCTCGGCCAGGAGCTGGCCAACCCCCATGATCTTCAAGGTGGGTACAGTTTTGATCAGAGTGGCGCTTGGAATCGTTATGTTAGCTGTGCAGTCGGCTTTGGGAAAGATGATTGCGTTCTTCGCGGGTGCTAAGGACAGCCTTTTTTTCGGGACAATAGGAACTTCGGAGGAGGAGTTGAAAGCCGACGATCTTTTTACAGCGACTCCCATCGGAGTGTTCGAATTCGTGGTCAGATCCGAGTTCAGCGGTATCACTTTTTGACCGAGTACCATACCATTCCCTGTAACAGACCCAGTAGCGTTATCACGTGACGCTGAAATCGATCGCTTTCGATTCGGCTACCTTTCTGGATCGCCTTCGTGACCGGACAGTCCTTATGAGCCAACAGGATCGTCTTTAGCTTGGCTACTTCGGCTCGCAAGACCTTTATTTCCATCTGCAGAGCCACGTTGGTCTCGTTCACGTTGGCGACCGTTCTCTCGAGCTGGTGGATCCACGCTTTTCTCTTCGCCCTCGCTCTCATCGAGCTCGCGCGATTCCGCTCGAGTATCTCCTTCTTCTTCACCTCCTGATCCATCGGTTGTTTATTCGGATTTTCCTTTTTCACGGCGCTAGACTCCCGCCTCTCGTCGCTCGGTTTATCGTTTTGCGAAGCGGTGCTTTTGATTAACACCTGTTTCAGTTTCTGTAATCACACGTACGGTAAACGTACGCGATGGAGTAAACCCGGGGATGGTGATTGGGAAAGGAATTCGTGGCAGGAATTAAATACCATTTTGGCCAGAGACAACGAGGGAGGCTTCTTCGGCTCTGCCTTTGCGGTACATTGCAGAGGGGGCTCCGTTTTTATTACGACGGTTTGTTGTTTCAACGACGACTGAGCGACGCAGGTGTTAATAGACTCGCAAATTGGCACCGCCGATAGCTGCATCAATTTGCCATCGGCTGTCTTTAACAGCAGTTGCACCTCCGCGCCGTTTATCGATCTTGAAAAAGACGGATGTTCAGTCGAATCTAGCATCGATTTAATTAGACCTCGCATAGCGAATACGGGATCAATCCTGACCCATATTATTTAATACATAAAAGTAGTGTTCGACTTTATCGCTTAAAAATATGAATCCCGCATTCGCCGATTACCAAGTAACCACCGTTTCAAGGTCACTTACAATTGCGGACCAACTTGATCCTCTAATACTCTCGGTATTATTTGCGTACTAGTAACTTGATTGATAATATTTTCTACAAGTGCCCCATTCTTGACTCCCACTACTTTATTTTTTAGCAATTCTTGCTCCTCTGTTCTTGCCAGCTTCACGCTGGTGCAGATCTCTGTGTCTACGGTGGTACTCTCGTCGGTGCCTTTCTCTGTAATGGAAATGCTGCTGGTGCATTCCTGAACGCTGCCATCAGAAAGAATCTGATTGTTGCCAGAGAGCACGTCGGCTATATGAGGGAATATGTGAGGAGTGTGCAGCGTATCGTCTGTGATCCCAGCCTAGAGGAATACTTGTTAACTAAAGGTAAGTCTGTTAAGATTAGCGTCTTCTAGTTCTTCTTCTTGCTTGTTACCTCTGTTACCGAGAGGGTGCCTGTGTTCCCAGACTCCACCGCTCTCCTAAATGTTTCCTCGAAAGGATTCACATTCTGCAGATCCTGGAAGAGACCTACTTCTTCACAATTTCTGATGAATCTTGTGGGTGTAGGAGTTTGGTCAGCTGTCGACAAAAGTATCATTATTTTCTGTTTCCTACCTGTGACAATAGCTTGTGGTATCAACCTGCGAAACCAGCACTCTTCGAACCGCTTCCTAAATTTAGCATCATGTCATGCTTCTTCTTATGCACTGTCAACTGATTCTCATTGGTGAAACTCTGAAAATGGTAATTATTCAAAATGGTAAATTCATCGATTATTTAAAATAGTAACTGTTCAGGTTGTTAACATAATAAATGCTAGACTTACCATGTCACAACCGGATGAAGAACAAGCAAATGCCTTCTCCGTGTCTGTCATTGTTCACTCACGGCAAAAAATGTTTTATAACACTTTACAAACACTGCAGTGTGAGATGTAACACAGCAGAGAGGGTATTGTATACAGAGCTTCAAGTCAGGATAATCATTTCCTTGGGAATTACTGTTGCTCCGATACATACTATGGAAAACTGACGACAGTATAACTGTTCTCCGTCGACGTGATGTTAAACAGACACAAACTGATACTCAACGCGACGATTCTACACGGAGAACCAAATATTTTTATATCAGCTGTTTCCATATTGCAAAGACTGGTCTGTAGTGAGACTATTCTTGGAAGCGTCATCTGGGGTAAAATGCTCAAACTATTGAACAATATGATCAACAGAAGAGAGCAGTTGATAGACAGTCTCGACTTGCACAAACTCAGCATATATGCACACATTGCATTTTATGGACCATTTTGCCTCACGTTTGGGGGCTTAAAGATCCCCATACCGTTTCGGTATCGCTGACAGCGTTGCCGATAGTTCACGAATTTGGGTACGTTAGCAGGAAACGACTATACATTTCGCTTCTACCGTTATATTCTCACCCGTTCTGAGATTCTGAAATTCGCCTGTAGGTGTCATGACCGGGTAATGTTCTGATAAATTCGCAGCAAGGGTTAAAACGTCTTAAAATACTAAGATATTAAATTCCCGAGCGCGTTTAAACGATAACGAAGGCGATTGTGAGAAGGAAATAAATATGAGAAACGTTCTACAACTAAGCACTCGGACCGCCGTGAACGCATTTCTCACGTTCTCTTTCCTTTTCTTCAAATCCGGCTGATATTTTTCTCATATATCTTGCTAATTGTACCATATTTTGATTTGTTGTGGTGCAATAAGTTCATTCTCCGTAATCACTGATAAACTTTGCTGTCCCCTCGGAGGAGACATCCGAGTGATATGCTGGACTTACGATATTCCCATAGGAATATCGTAACAATAACATAGGGAACAACCGAATACAATTAAACAGTAACTGTTTAAGTCAAAGACTTGAACTGTATTCCTAAAACTTTTCTAAAAAAATAAATGCGCTCTTCCTCCGCTCCTTCCATGTAACTATCGGTCCCAGGATGCGTCGGTTGGTGGGGCGTCGTCCAGTCCAAAGGGTAGTCCCGTCGCGTAGCCACCTCGGGAGGGAGGATCGGGGAGGATGCTGTGCCTAGGGCCCAAAGGAAAGCGGTCGGGAATATGCACGTGTAGGCTGCGTGCTTGAACGTAGCTTCTCCGATTTCCGTGCAAGCATCTCCGATGAAGGTTTAATGCTAATTTACGACCTCGAAGCCCTTAAGAAAAGTCGTAAAGCTGTTTTCCTTCAGGCTCGCAAGGCCCGGAGGTCGGCGAAGGGCTCCTGTTTCCATGCGAAGTGTCTCCGCTGCTTTACTGCTTGCAGCTGGCATTCCATTATATTGTATTTCTTACTCCAGTGACCGTCTAATCTTAACTTCACCGTTTCGCTAGCTAGGTATATCGTTATCGCTGTTACTATGATACTGGTTCTCATATTACTTGTTATTCGAATAAAGCGCGCTATCATGGCGATGGGGACTAGTAAAATGGCGGCGATCCAGATTCCGGTGATATTATGTCACACAAAGATGGCGGATAGTCTCGATTCCTCTTACGTTTTTGAGCATTGCCCTTATGGGGTCGAGCGTTTAGGGCCAGCAGAATATTCGTGCTGTAATTTAGATCAGTCCTTGCGGGAAAAACGGCACTGTGCTTGGAATATCTCTCTGTGCCATAAATTTCAACGTTTCGCCACGGGCGGCGTCATAGTCGTCTAGTGTAGGGTTTAAGAAGCAAATGATTCTCGCCGCTTCTTGTCAAATATCCAACGCCAGCAGCGGTCCAATATATTTGAACAATTTTCATTTTTATATTTCTCTGGGGAAATTTCATTTCTGGGCTAGGATCAGAGAAAATATATATGTTCGAGGACGGAGTATAAGAGGAGATACGTAAACCCTACGCACGGCGGCATAGGGAGGCAGAGGCAAAGTGGACAAATGGCAAAGATGTCCGCCATTGGTTAAAGTCGCCGACCAAGCCCGCAGTACCTGCATAGAGAATTTCTGTGTCACCTGTGGCCCGCCTGTTACAAACTAGCCTCGATAATATTTTACTAGCCCCTCGATTCACTACAAATTCGTGGCAATTTGACGCAGAGCCAGCTGCTTACTGATGGTTTCTCAAAAAATTTGTGTCTGATCAAGTTTATACTTTAAAGATCACAAGATGTTGGTCTTCTGTGATATTTTCGACTTCAAAGTACTTATACTTGCCTGTTTACTGGTGAGTAATAACCGAGATTCTACGGTGTAGCGATATTTGTCGTACCGGAGAGAAAAAAATTTAACAATCTCATATGTCAGAGGCTTTCGAAAAATTTTGGCCACGCGTAAGGTGACGCACAATCGAGTGACCCACAAAATCTCGTGGTGCCCGCGCCCTATTATCGAGCCGGGCTCGTCCCAAGCCCTTTTCTCAAGGGTTCTTGGGGTCTCGTTGCATCGCACGAATAGCGGCATAACCTATACATGTACACAAGAGAGAATAATTTTCGAATACACTTTGTTCAACCGATTCCCGGATATTTGGCTAAGCATCTGCGTGCACCCCGGTACAGTCTGCTTCACGCAAAAGCTGACGGTTGCTGACGTTGCACGCTTTCAACGCCCGGAAAGACTAAACCGGAAAATAAAAATGTCGTTTCTTATCCCACTCTGTTGTTTTGCTTTATTTTTTCGCCAACCCTGATTATTAAACCCATGCGCCAGCTTATTTCCAAGCTTTGCTTACGTATGCTGTATATTTTACAACACTGACCAAAATTCTGTGATGCTGTTACATAAACCTGTGATAAGAAATATTTGAGAAAACATCGCCTTTTATTCCAGGCATTTTTACCAAACAATTTAGCGAACGAAGCGGACGAAGGCGCGGTATCACTTACCCGACAAAACATTGATATGACGCTCGGTAAGTTACGATCCCGTTCAAGTAAAACGAAATAGGACAGATAAAGCCTATCGCGGTGGCATTTATGCGGCCCGTGGATCTATATTATCAATACGTTCTCGTTTTTATTTTCAGTATCGAACGAATTGGTATTTATAAATTTTTACGCACAATGGTGCCGTTTTAGTAACTTATTAGCCCCCATTTTTGAGGAAGCAGCAACTAGGATAAGGCGCGCTTTCCCCGAACCGGGGACGGTAGTTATGGCAAAAGTAGATTGCGATACGGAACGTGGGTAAAACGACGAAAGGAAATTACGTAACCCACTCGGAGGGAGCGAATTTTCTAAATGAGAAATTATGCTTTTAGCCGGCATCGCCTCGAGGTTTCACATCACTAAGTACCCGACCCTGAAAGTCATCAGAAATGGCCAACCAACCAAGAGGGAATACAGGGGTCAGAGATCTGTGGAGGCCTTCGAAGAATTTATTAAGAAACAGATGGAGGATCCGATAAGGGAGTTCTACGAGTTGAAGGAACTGTTGAATTTGGACGACAAAAAACGGATGATCATTGGTTACTTCGACACCAAGGATGTTCCTGAGTACAAGATGTTCAGAAGGGTCGCCACCAACCTCAAAGATGACTGCCAATTCCATATTGGCTTCGGGTACGTCTGGTTCTCGTATATTCCGAAAATATTCGACACAGTCGGTTAAGGATTCTTTCGATCTAACCGTCTGACAAATTTTACTGAAGCATTTTTATTGTATGGATGTATGAGGGCGCGTGTGTAATGGTTCTGTTGTTTCCTCTAACAAGCACTTGCTCTGCTCAAAACTGTGACATTGGAGAACATTTTCACTTGGTGTAAGTAAGATATTGTGCATGGTCTAGACGAACTTTTCATTTTGCACAATTCTTTAAGGATGCAGCATTTTTTCTGTGCATTTGTACACGGGCAAGTGCAATACGGAATCCGGTACAATCCGATCGAGAACGCACTACCATTCCCGTACGAAGCGATCGAAAAAACTGCACTGAATTTATGAGATTTTTATGACGTTGGGAATCGGCGATACGTTCAATGTTGCGCGGGGTAGTAGCTATTTTCCGGTCGCGTTCTATGGGCCCCTATTGCATTCGGAAACCCCCTTTCAATTATGTTTTCCGATTTTCTTCGATGTGAATGTTCGAACGAAATTTAGAAATGGAAATATTCGTTGATCTTTTGTCAATCGAAAAATAGGAACGCAACCAGATCCATGCATCCCCCGGGACAACCCATTATAGTCTTCCGATCGGATAAAGCCCTCTCGAACGACGAGGACGAGACCTACAAAGGTAGCCTGCATAACTTCGACGAACTGAATGTTTGGGCACAAGAGAAGTGTGTTCCCCTTGTGAGGGAAATTACATTTGAGAATGCTGAAGAGTTAACGGAGGAGGGTCTACCGTTCCTCATATTGTTCCATGCCCCCGATGATGTGGACACCATTAAAATGTACAAAGACGTAGTATCAAAACAGTTGATAGATGAGAAACGTGAGTAAATCGCTTAAAATGCTTGCCCTGATTTGAACATGGACCGGTTGGAATCGATGAATACCGTTTTCTTTACAGAACACGTGAATTTCCTAACTGCGGATGGTTTAAAATTTGCTCATCCCCTTCATCACTTGGAGAAGACACCAGCAGACTTGCCTTTGATCGCTATAGATAGTTTTAGGCATATGTACCTGTTCCCAAACTTCAACGATATCCACGTAGAAGGAAAGCTTAAAGCTTTCCTGAAGGATCTGTATTCGGGAAAGCTGCACCGGGACTTCCACATGGGCCCGTCACCAAGCAAAAACGAGATACAACAGATCGTAGGACAAATCAAGGTGCCTACAACCCCACCGGAGTCCACGTTCAAGAAGTTAGCACCCAGTAAAAACAGGTACACGTTACTCAGGGATGAACTTTAATGTTATAGTGAACACATGGACAAGCAACGTATGCATAATTTTGGTTACGCGATTTGTTAGTTATTTTACAGTGATGCAATCCAAATCCGTTGTATTATTATTAAATCGAATTATATCGATCGACGTTACATCGCGCGTTTAAGCATTCTACGTATCAGTTTATACAGTATTCTAATTAAACGATGATTTAGTGTACATTAAAAAAAAATAGGAATGAAAGTCTCGTTATTTAAGGAAAGCTATGCATATAATATACATATGTATAAAATCCCAGCGAACACAAATCTTACGCCTCTACCAAATGTTTTATACACAACTACTAATCTACACTCTAACCTGTAAAGAATTGCTCGATCACGTATAAATCAGGACCTTCGTAGAGAAATTTTTCGTAATAGCAGATTTCATTCTATTTTTACATAACGCCATGCTTTTTATATTCACTTTTGTTCCGTATATGAATCGCTATTCGAAACCCAATCACCGAACGACAGCGTTTAGAGATCGCAGGGACATGCGTTAACAATTAAACGAAAACACCTATAACACATAGCTCACGAAATAATGCTAAGGAAAAGATACGGGGATTAAGGATAAAAATAATAAAATGAAGATATTACCTATCCATAGGCGACCTACTGTAATATATCGTTTTCTATAAGCGGAGAGTTAGCTCGACTGCACGTTAGACCTCTCGAGAGTACTGAATCCATCTTACCTTGGCAAGATGGCTGCGATATAACGGACTTTGGTCCCATGGGTACCCCATGCAACTATCCTTGGCAGGAAGCGTTTATCGAACGATGCATTTATTTAAAAATTACCGAAAAAAATATACGTCAAACATTCGAATGTATATTTATAGAAACGCTATAGTAGATTCGTGCAAAGACGTGTTGCGACACTTCTATTTTATTATTGCTTCGCTGTTGCTGACGACACTCGCGCGGGTCCGATTTGGCAATAATATCTATAATAGAATCATAGTCACGCCAAATACACTTTTCGCCAAGGATAGTAGTTCACGAGTTAATAAGATTTTTGGTAATTAGGAATAATTCTTAAGGCGTTCACCTTTTGATACTTCGTAGTTATTAGATGCACGAATGAATAATGCAACGTTTCCAAGGAGACTCGAGGTTTATCGTCAAAGATTATAGTTTCTCTCGATCGATCATCTATTTAAAATCCTTCGAAAATCTCTTTTTTTCAACGGCGAATCTTCGATCTCGATGATCTATCGAGCAACCGTCGACATCGAACGCGTGCTAATTTCATTTTGCCTCGCTCGAGAATGCCTCGAATTATTCGTTTGTCTATCTGATACTCGTCCCCCGAGGTTTCCTCTAGCACGAAAGAAAAACAAAAGAAAAAGAAATCAAATCGCGGCACTCGGCTCTGTGTGCATTTGGATAAAGGTTGTCTAGAAACGATAAACGACGAACGAGATCGAGCGCTCGTGCTCGATTATTATCCATCGGCTATCGAAGTTCTCTGAGCGCGGGAGAGAATGCGAATTTTTCGAAGAACGTCTGTTTTAATTTAGGGTAATCGCTTCTTGGGCAAAGTATTTTTTAGAATCGAGTGGTGCCGAAACGTGTTTGCGATAGAATTCACGAGCTAGCGATGAGATTGATTTGATACGGTGCTAGGCAGCGCCGGAGATACACCTGAGAAGCTAACTTGTATGGATGATGGTATTAATTTCTCTGTTAATAAAGAATTTCTAAGTCAGGCATTCGTTTGAATCACTGTTACGCGTCCTCGACACTTCACAGATTTTTCACTCACCGATCGGCGAAGATTACGGCGATGCTGCGATCGAGCGCCGAACGTTTAACGGCAGAGGATGATGGAGCAGCGAGAGATGTCCATTATAAAATGGCTGTATTTAGGGGTAACTCGATACATGTATTACATTCCAGCAGTACACGCCATCACCGTTTTATGTTATATTCTAGTCTTGCAGTACATAGTATTACACGTAACATGATTTCATACAGCTAATACCCATCCACACTGCACTCTCGCCACAGTTTCCAGCGCTTCTTCCGTTTGTTCAATGTTTTCGTTTTCCAGCTTATACGACGAAACGTGAATGGAGCAGATCTCGGGCGGAGGAGCCCTCGATCGCAGGTACCGCAGTTAGAGAACAAAAATCGTTAACAGTAAGATCGTTTCCCGAAGGTAGAAAGGAACGTTCGAAGAAAAATGGTCGGTCGAGTGTTAAACTATCATCGCGATATACAGAATGGTACTTTTATTATTTACCACCAAGACCTTTTTTGTGTTTCACGCGAGAACGTTTTTTTTTCTTTTTTTTCACGATCGCCGAACTGAGAGAGCGCTTGATTTTCTTTTTTTTTCTTTCTTTTTTTCTCTCTCTCTCTTCTCCACGTTTTTTTCTCGTCTTGTGTCGCAGTCCCGAATGTCGCTTTCTTCCGAACAGCGAACCCAAGCGGAGCAGATGAAGCGAAAGTAAAGAGCGTGATCTTGCTTGTTTTCTTGGTTCGCTCTCAGCCGTAAACGCGCGTCGATCGGTTTTCACACACAGTTAGCTACAAACAATATATATGTACAAACGGTAAACTCGTAATGAACACCGCGGGGGAAACGCATTCGTCACACGTTGAACTCCCTAGTCCCTATCCTTTTTTTTCCCCGGTTTTCCTCGCTTTTCTCCTAGCATCTAGAAGGACATTCAACTATACGCTTGCCTTACAGAGAGAATCAATAAAGGTCGAACGACGAAACAATCGAAGCGAACCGAGGTTAAATCTGTACCGGTTGAACAGTTAGCGATAATAACAATCGTGTTATAATTCATAATCGTGTGTATATATTGTGTGTTCGTGTGTGTGTGTGTGTATGTTATGTAGGTTGCATCCACGAATGGGTCTCGACTGCTTGTCACTTCGAAAAGCACGTTTCGTCATAACGCAATTGAGAATCGTTTCCCGATGTACACTCTAGAAAAATAACGTTATTGAACATTCCTTACCGGATCGGGGGAGGGAATTAGACGTTACAAACGTTATTAGAACTTCTTTTTTTTCCTCAAGTAAAAATATAAATATTCTCGTTCACAGTGCGATATCTCTGGTGTAGCCTCGCTTGACTTAGTGTTTAAACGCTATATGTTTTTTTTTCTCGATACTCCAGACGAGGATAATGACCCTTCTTCTTTCTCTCACTTTCTTAAATCCTATCGCGCATTTCTCTCTCCTTCTCTCTTTCTCTCTCTCTCTCTCGCGCGCTCTTTACCGTTTCTCGAATAATTTGCACCCCACGAAAAACCAAAGACCTGTCGAACGGGTCTCCCTATCCGCTCGCCGCGTCCGCTTCTACGCGCGGCCGTCGCGCGTGCATCCGTCCTCATAGTTTGACTTTGTGTTCTTTTCTCTTTTCTTTTTTTTTGTTTAACTAACAACGACTTGTACTCGCGGCATCGTTTAATAAAGTAATGAAAGACGTTTTCTTATTACAATAATTATAAGGCGTCGCCGACGACGCGTTTATTCATCATGTATTGCCTATTATCTCTTCTTTGTTTTCTTTCTCGCGACGCTACTACGTTTAGACCGCTTTAGGTTTAGGCGAAACTTAGACGAAACTCTGCGATAGCGATTAGCGAGTATAATACGAGGGGAAGCCGGCTTTGTCAAACGCGACGGGGAAAAAAGTAACTCTCCGGCAAACCAATGGAGCCTCCTCTCGCGATCGTCTCCGAATCGTTCGGAAGCGTTTTTTGTCGCGATCTCGCGGGATCTCGTTTCGAGATCGACGAATTCGGCTCTCGCGAACGATTCGTTACAAACTCTCTTATAAGCGACTCTGTCCTTCGCGGATGCTTCTGTTCGCCAGCCAACGGATGCAAAAACGTAGACACATTTGATTACACTAAAGAACAATCGACGGCGAACGACCGTCCCGCGTTCTAACAACGTCCGCGGCGGTCCTTCCAGAGAACCGGAGAGGACTTCCGGCGGGCCGCGGGACCGCCTCGCGATCGTTACAACGTAGATTACACTTATTCAACGATTACGATTATTATACATCTATGTTGATCAAGTTTCTTCATCAAGATATTTAACAACGTACATAGAACTCTTTGATTACTTTTGCCTCTGTTTAACTAGCACTCCTCTGCCCTTCTCGCGCGGTCCTTGATTAATACCATGGTTGCGACTCTGGCCGAGAACGTTCTTGAGAAGCCACGAGCTCCAGCCTCTCGATCGTTACGATGACAGATGGTTTTTTTTCCTTTTCGGATTTTTTTTTTATGTCAACGCACGCTCCGCCTCGAAGAAACGCTTCGAGCAGGACTCAAGGAAGAATGCGGATCTCAAGGAACCCGCGCAGTTTTCGAAATATCGCGGAAGCGAGTTCGCGCGGAACTTACGTATACGCGAGCGTAACGCGAAAGTACCCATTATGGAACCCTTTCAAGGGCCGGAAGATTATCGTCGAATTCATCAGAACTGCAAAGCGTTAGATTTTTATATTACCGTTCGATAGATCGATATTTCTAGACGACGTAACGATCTTCGAAATATTTACTTAATACGAATAACAAATTAGACGAATGAGCCTATAATGTACAACTAAATTTCGTACATCCATTTTATGCTGAACGATACGAATTTTGCGAACGTAATCAAATCTCTTTCCTTGTAAACTCTGTTCTCTATCGCAATTCGATGGATGCGTTCCAATATCGTGCACCAATGAATTTTTGCCGGTATAACGACTAAACAAACAAATAAATAAACAACAGTACAATTGGATTTACAAAGAACAACGTCCGAAAATATAGGTACAATTTTTACGTCCACTTTCACATGCTCCGTCTATGTTTTTTTACTGTATTGTCCGCGCCACTGTTTGTACAAGGGGCGACAAATTGACCGGCGTTTCACGACAGGTACTTTCACCGTAGTATCGACCTCGAACATATCACGTTGCCTCCGATGTTACTGCTCGCCGTGCCAGAAAGATTTGCGGGGACCGGCACGTCGGGATTCATCGCAGACGGATTCGAAACTAAGGGGGAGGCTTTTTTTGGACGCCCGGCTCGGTCCCCGTTCTCTCCTGCTCGTCGCGATTCCGATCCACAGACTCGCGATCTAAGGGACGAAACAACGTTCCGACGGTTCGGGTATCAAAAGACTTACGGAGTATCGACTTGAGCAACTCTATCGGGAAACAATGATGCGCGGGAAAACAAGCGACACGGCCGAGGATCGTGGATCCTCTGGCCTCGAACAGCGCTGATCGAAAGGAAGACTTGCTTTCTCCTTCTAAGGACGTCCGATATATACTCTGAAATCTCTCTCTCTCTCTCTCTCTCTTTCTCTCTCTCCCGCTCTCTCGTACAGTTTTTAGTAACTATACAATGAAATCTGCCAGCAGAATAGGACGATGTGTACAGTTTCGTACACCGCGCATACAACGACACAAATATAAAATAATACAATATATAGAATATAATGGTAACGCGATGTATTCATAGAATCTGTTTCTTTGTCTTTTTTTGTCGAAGAGTACTCTATAAAAATATTATTCGCTAGGGTTCATCAACGATAAACTCTGCCCGGCATGGGTCGTCCCTTTCGTCCCTCCCGCGGAATCGTTTCCGGTCGTCCATTTTGCTTCCTCGGACCCGTCGATTCCGCGGCTACCGAACATATTTCTGACCTCGAGAAGCGCGCGGACTCATTTAACCCTCGTCCGTCCCTTGCGTCGATCCTCCACCGATTTCAACCGTTCGCCGACTAGTGCGATCGTCGTTGCAGAAATTGCACTATCTCGTGTCACGAGCGAACTATTCATCCAGCGTGAAAATTTGCCGTTCGAATCGCGATTTCAGCGGAGTCTGAAATACGCGTCAAGATGTTCCGCGAATATTCAGAGGCCGAGACGAACGATAAAACGAACGAATGTATAAAGAATTATTGCGAGAGGCACAACAACGAATGATTACTATATTTTAAGTACACCCGCTCTACGAAGAACTTCTCTGAAACGGCGTTTTCTTTCTCCGTTCGACGTCAAGGGACGAATTAAGCTGGACAAACGGGGGACGGATGGGGGGTTAACACGTTCCCGGCGCGGTAAAATCAATTCGGTTTCGAACGAAAATCCGTGGTACGGTCGAGGAGAATGATCGCGGATCGGACGGACGGGGAACGTGTTAATTGCAACGTAATATTGCTTGGGGCCTCTCGAAAGGAGCGAAACGATTGATTGCTGGTACGCGGGACGCGTTTCGGCCGGAAAGGGTGAACCGAAGGGACTCTGCCTGGGTCGGGGGAAGCGGTGAAGTAACCTCGCCGCGTCGGGCCTGCGCGGGCCCGATCGTAATTATGTATGTAGGTATAATTGATTCGAGGAACGTGCGCGCGACGTGATCGAAGAGCCCGCGGTGCCCGCGCGTGGATCCTACTATACGTGTGTATGTAATCATCAACGGGAGAGAAAAGGTACCTATTTGCAAGCGCGCGCGTGACGACGACGGTCTGTGCGTTTTGTGTCGCGTTGCGAAACGAAAATGCACCCGATATGCAACGGGACCCCGGGGCTCTTCGACACCGGCCACGATTTCTTTGCGAAAGATATATACAGGTATTGACGTTGTCTTGTACTTGTGTTCTAGCGTTTGTCGAGAGATAAATCTTACGGATGAAGGTGTATCCACGGTCTTCTCCGTTTCCTCCTCGCTTTCTCTTTTGTTTCAGCTTTTCCTTTTTTTTTGCTTCTTGTTTTCGGCGTTTTCTCGTTCGAACGGACAAAAACAAAGGACCCGAAAACCGAAAGTTCCATGGGGTGCGGTGCGATGTCCCGCAGTGCGAATCGAAAACGAAACGGGGTCGCGTTTCGCCTGCACGCTGGCAGACGCGACGACGAAAGTGCGCGCGAAAATTCCGGGGGGAACGGAAAGAACGGTGATAGAACGACGAAATGTGCATCGGCAAACTCTCGGTGAGGCTAAAGCAGGCTACATCTAGAACCTTGAAAGGAAGAGTCGACGGTGTCTAAGCTAAACAGCACCATTCCCGTGTTTCTGCATCGTAAAACTCTCGGATATCTCCCCTCACACTTCCCCTTTTCCCTTCTTCCTACACCCCGGCAATCGTTTACGATCTATCTTGTCGGACACACGTGGCAAAACGTAGGCCATCTCTCGTAGGTAAATCTCGATAAGCTTCCATTAATAAAATCGTTAAAGATATTGTCTTCGGGACGTTATATATTACTTATTCCGCGTCGTCTTGACGAGCTCTTTTAAATATGTTTCCACTGTCGAAGCGCTTCGTTAAACGGATCTTTTGTGCTCTCGAGCGTTTCATCGTGCCCTCTTCTCACCCATGGTTGCACAGCCTGCGGCGTTTCCGATGAATTACGTTGCGTACGGCCCTGCGACGGTCGACGATTACGAATCGAATCAATTAATTCGCGTTGATCCCGCGACGGGAAATTAAGTTGCATTGTTTGTTCCGGCGGCGGTGTTGCTTGACGGTGCATCGACTCGGATTCTTTACACTTTATTTACCGGCTGTTTCCTAGTAATACTTTTGTAATAAAAATCTGATTGGAAAGCTGCAATGATCGCGGCTACAAAATCCAGGAAATTATTTAGACTAATTTAGTGTATTTCAGTTCTTTTGAAATTAGTATTTAGAAAGAGAATTATCGATCTGATCTCAGACACAGTTGAGTCATCGAGAAACCAGAAATCCGGTTGAAAAGCTGCAATAATCGCGTCTACAAAATCCAAGAAATTATTTAGATTAATTTAACGTATTTCAGTTCTCTTGAAATTAGTATTTAAATGAGAATTATCGATTTGTTCGCGGACACGGTTTAGTCATCGAGAAACCAGTGAACAGGCTTCCGGTAAGTAAAATGTTGATTTCGAGCGAATTATTCAACGAATATCGGCGAGCCAATGTGGAAACTGTTTTATCAGTCTCGGAACGATAGAAAATGTTCTGCGCCGTTCTCTTCGAGGACTGTCTCGATTTCAATCGCGAGACAAAATTGCGAGGTGGCATGAGCCGAGAGTCGACCGCCATGTTGGACAAGATCGAAAGTCAACCATTTTGCGATCGTCGCGGCGATCGAACCGAACGACGCAACGTAACCGTGTTGCCCGACTAAAGAACAGAATTATTGTCTATCCCTATGCGCGTGTTAATTATGCGAACGTCTCTCTGTGAAATCACCGCATCGTGTGACCAACTTCACCACCGATAACAACGGCGAACATGCTCGATCTCCGCTCCCGTCATCGCGCTCTTTATTTAAGGACGAACCGTATCGCCTGCAACAGGATTAAGAGCTCCTCTTATTGTTTTGTATCCCCTTTCCTCTCCTCTCTCTCTTTCTCTCTCTCATTCTCTCTCTCCCTTTCGCTCTCCTCGCCAGAATATAATATCACAACGCACACAGCCAGTTTTTCTCCCTTTCTCTCGCTCGCTTTCACTCCACTTTCTCTCTCTCTCTCATTCTCACAAACTCTCGACATTCTCGCTCTCTCTCTCTCTTCCTTTCTTTCTTCCTTTCTTTCTTTCTTTCTTTCTTTCTTTCTGACACTAATACTTGTTCTTGTTGTTGCATCATTAGTATTTTTTTTTTAAAACCATAAAAATATCAATGCCAGTATACCACCGACGTACATCGCTAACGTGTATATGTATATATAATATATGTTCGTATGTATGTATGTATAAGTATATACTAAATATATATATATATATATATAATAGAATATGTATTGTATATATATATATAATATGTATATATGAATATCCATAATAACGTTACTTCATGTGTCTCCCGGTAGCAACACCATGTACATAAGGTATACGTATATATAATAGGTATGTGTATAATGCATCATTTTTATCGTTACGTGTACGTATATCCTCTAGGCGCTAAACAACTACCCTCTATCGCGACCTACACGGCTGTGGCTTCTCTTAATCTTAAGGACCTAGAAGAGGGTGCACGACATAGTTACAGTTTTGGGTTTTTGGATGTCGAGGTTCTTAGGTGGACGGTGTTCTCATGTTAGGGGACAGCTGACACAGATGGGAGGCTCTACGAAGGGCACGGGCGGCCATTTTGTCGCTAAACCCGAGCCAGCTAATTTCGAGGATTCTCCCCGGCATCCCGTAGGTGCCGTCGGGAACCGAAGAATAGACGCCAATGGCACCTTGCTCTCGACAGGAGGCGTTCGATCTTTGCCCGTGCCCGATCTAAACGCTAACCGAAACGGCGTCGACTCGCTTCCGGCGGAAACTCCGGATCGGGAACGATCGACAGAGGCCGCGAAGTAAGAGCCGATTCCATTCCGTTGGGGTGGTTGGGTGGGCGGGGGGTGAAACAACAAGGGGGCGGTACACAGTGACGAGACTCGCCGGGTAGAAAACGACCGGTTGAATGTAACAGATTCAGAGCTACACACACGTATCAAGGAAAAAAGGTTCGCTACTGTTGCTTCGATTCCTGCGTTCCAGCGGCGGCCGACCTGGCACGCCGCCACAGCGTGCGTTCTAAAAATTCAGCGACAAGTATATCATCGTTAGAGCTAATCCTACTTGCCAACGACATTCATCTAAATTTGAAGACAGATCGTTACGGGGCTATCTCTCTCTCTCACTCTCTCTCTCACTCGCGTCGAGTCCCGCGCGGCCAGAATGTTAATGAGACGCGGTGTTTCGCCGGCCGTGCACCGACCGTGCACGTCGTCGTCGTCTCGTTCGCAAGCGGATCTCTACGCAGCTAAGGGGGAACAAAGCCGATATACACGGAGGATCGATATCGGCGAAGGAATGAGCCGGGCGAGTGTCTCGATCGGCCGGTCGGTCGTTCGTTCGGTCGCGGATCGAGCTTCGCGCGGGATATAACAACGATGCCTCTTCTTCGACCTTCTTCGACCCTCTTCGATCCTCTTCGATCAACGCGCTCCCAAGTGACAGACACCATAGGCCATCGAAACGAACGGCGGTGAAACGAACGCCCGGCCGCGAGCGAGACAATCGCGCGATTAATAATCGTTCGCGTGTGCGCGGTGAGTGACGACGAAGGGGTGGGGCGTGATTGGTTCCTAACGATATCAATAACGACATTTTTGTTGTTGTTGTTGTTGTTGTATAGCATTAATAGAGAGTATAACTATGTAGGTATTTTTTTTTTTTAGGTAGGTAGGTAAACGCTAAAGAAAGCTCAGTTGATTGTTTCGGGAGCGAGCACCTCACTCGTATCTCGCGCGGTAATGGCTCGTTCGTTTCTGTTGTCGCCGCTAGCTCATTAAACACTTTGTAAAATTAGATTCGAAGGAGCGAGGTGTGTAGATGCGTGTATATGCGTGTGCAACTGCGGAAGTCGGCCTCTCCCGTCTCTCTCTCTCTCCTCTCTCCCTTCACGCGAACCGACTCCACGATCCGTGGACCTCGTTCCTGCGTTTTCTCGGCTGCCCCGCCGATCGAGACCCGATTTTTCGCGACCGGTAACCAACCCCCACTTACCCTCTCGGCGCCGGAACCTGCCCACGGCCACGACCGAGAGGAACCGTTCCGTTCTCGCGGCCCGGAAACCCGGGTCTCGGGTTTCCAACGTCCGTTTCAAACTGGTATCCCAACCGACGCGCCACGATCTCTTCCGGCTTGTCTTCGACGGCGGGGCACCGAGCCGTTTCTCGGAGTCGCGGTCACTTCAGGGAGGAACTTCGCTCGACTTTCTGCTCTTCGACGAAGACTTCCGGCAGCTTCGTAGCTTCGCTTCGTTCGATCCGCCGCCACCGAGCTAATTCTTCGACGTCAGGATTGTCACGAACTCTGTCGGCACACGGAGCACAAATTATTGGTTAATGGATCGGATCTCTTCTTTTATTGTAATTATTGATAATATTGGAGAGATGCTTCTGTATGGAAATTTTTTGGAAGTTTAAATATATTCAACCTTATTATTGTTACAAAACGATTTACGTTAGTCGCGCTCAGGGCTCGGCAGTTCTAGTGCAAACCCCCTTTGCCCTATAAGTAATGTGTTATATTGTATGTTATGTACATATAAATAATATATTATATATATTATAATTAATATATTATTAATAATATTATATTAATAAATTAATATATTAATATATTATAATATATAATATAATATGTAATATGTTATTCGCGTGTTTCTAAGTCGAAACAAGATTCGATTCTATCGCTACAAAAATAATTACAAAAATCAGCGCCGACAGGAATATCACTTGTAAAATAAATAATTAACCCCTTGCACTATAACAGAGCTCGTGATAATGATTTCATACCTAATCCATTGAATACGATTCTTCTGTCATAAAATTTTAAGAATATGAAAGTAAATGAAGAATCGAAAGAAACAAAAATTGCCTAGTTCTATTCCAGAAATGATTAAGAACAAAAATATAGCAATCTCGACGCGATTACGAAAGAAATCATAACGCAAGGGGTTAAACAAGAATGTTGGTAGCAACGGGAGCAAGTACCTTCGTAGTTCACCATCCCGTCGCCATCGAGATCCGCTTCCTTGATCATGTCGTCGACCTCCTCCTCGGAGAGCTTCTCGCCGAGGTTCGTCATCACGTGTCGCAGCTCTTTCGATGAGATCATGCCGTCGTTGTTCTTGTCGAATACCCTGAGAGTGCCAGGAGCGTCTCGTTAACGACAAAGATTCGAGCGAACAATAGGGAGACATACCTGAACGCCTCGCGCAGCTCGTCCTCCCCGTAGGCGCCTTTCATCTTCTTCGACATCATCTGCAGGAACTCGTTGAACTCGATGGTCCCGTTTCCATCTTGGTCCACCTCGTTCACCATGTCCCGTAATTCCGTCTCTGAAACCGATCGTCCTTTACACCGGGCCGATTCGAACGCGAAACGAGAAATTGCGTTTAGCCGAGTCGACAGTTTTAAACGATCCGTCGGGGCCGCGCCACTCTCTCTCTCTCTCTCTCTCTCTCTCTCTCTCTCTCGTTTTCTCTCGGTCTCATTCTCTCTCCGTGTCGTTTTTCTAATTTGCCCCGACGTAATGCGCGTACTGTCTCGACGTCGTTCCATGGGAGACATTTAATTCCCCGGTACATCCCCCCCGGGGGCGAGGACAGAAGAGGCCCGACATGCAGTTAATTACCAGCGTTTGCACGTGCGCCTAGCCGTCACAGTTTCTACCCCTCCGAATCGCTCGAAAGTTAATTTTCCCTAAGCTCTTGTCACAGCCTAGTTTCAAGGATTCCGGCGTTTCGGCCCGCGCGCCCTCGCGTCTTAGAAAACCGAGGCACTCATTTAGCGGGACGCGTTTCTCTAACCGTTCCCGACTCGAACTTCTCGCTGACTCGCCGCCAACGGAATTTCCATTCGCGTCTTCGAGACTGCCGCGACATATTCGGCGCACGAACGAATCATCCAATTTTTCTTACGCGGTTAGAAGATCGAAGATAGTACGAAATCGTTTTTCCGCGACTTCGCGGTCACGTTGCGTCGACCGGTTGCTACCGGAAAAGGCATTTTGATTGGCTGATGGCTACACGGAGCCTCGAGAAATAATTTGGAGTCGATAATGACCACGGATAAGGTGCCATATGCGACATTGTATTCTCTGCGAATTTCGAAAAAATGCTAAGAAGGCATGCGAAACGATTTGTCGCTTCCTCGGCGATTGCTTCGAGTAAAAACTTTGCTTTGCTTCTTTTTAACACTAGATCTACCAAGCAGTAAAATAGTAACCGACGCGAATTGCATTATAAAAATGAGAAGATCGAATTTATTTCGATTTTGTAAAGCTTTCATCGTAAAACTTGCTCCAGTAATTGCAATAAATGTAATTTATTCAAGGCTTTTCCGTGAAAGGGTCTGTAAATTTTGCAGAATTGCAAGATAAGAAAACNAATCATAACGCAAGGGGTTAAACAAGAATGTTGGTAGCAACGGGAGCAAGTACCTTCGTAGTTCACCATCCCGTCGCCATCGAGATCCGCTTCCTTGATCATGTCGTCGACCTCCTCCTCGGAGAGCTTCTCGCCGAGGTTCGTCATCACGTGTCGCAGCTCTTTCGATGAGATCATGCCGTCGTTGTTCTTGTCGAATACCCTGAGAGTGCCAGGAGCGTCTCGTTAACGACAAAGATTCGAGCGAACAATAGGGAGACATACCTGAACGCCTCGCGCAGCTCGTCCTCCCCGTAGGCGCCTTTCATCTTCTTCGACATCATCTGCAGGAACTCGTTGAACTCGATGGTCCCGTTTCCATCTTGGTCCACCTCGTTCACCATGTCCCGTAATTCCGTCTCTGAAACCGATCGTCCTTTACACCGGGCCGATTCGAACGCGAAACGAGAAATTGCGTTTAGCCGAGTCGACAGTTTTAAACGATCCGTCGGGGCCGCGCCACTCTCTCTCTCTCTCTCTCTCTCTCTCTCTCTCTCTCGTTTTCTCTCGGTCTCATTCTCTCTCCGTGTCGTTTTTCTAATTTGCCCCGACGTAATGCGCGTACTGTCTCGACGTCGTTCCATGGGAGACATTTAATTCCCCGGTACATCCCCCCCGGGGGCGAGGACAGAAGAGGCCCGACATGCAGTTAATTACCAGCGTTTGCACGTGCGCCTAGCCGTCACAGTTTCTACCCCTCCGAATCGCTCGAAAGTTAATTTTCCCTAAGCTCTTGTCACAGCCTAGTTTCAAGGATTCCGGCGTTTCGGCCCGCGCGCCCTCGCGTCTTAGAAAACCGAGGCACTCATTTAGCGGGACGCGTTTCTCTAACCGTTCCCGACTCGAACTTCTCGCTGACTCGCCGCCAACGGAATTTCCATTCGCGTCTTCGAGACTGCCGCGACATATTCGGCGCACGAACGAATCATCCAATTTTTCTTACGCGGTTAGAAGATCGAAGATAGTACGAAATCGTTTTTCCGCGACTTCGCGGTCACGTTGCGTCGACCGGTTGCTACCGGAAAAGGCATTTTGATTGGCTGATGGCTACACGGAGCCTCGAGAAATAATTTGGAGTCGATAATGACCACGGATAAGGTGCCATATGCGACATTGTATTCTCTGCGAATTTCGAAAAAATGCTAAGAAGGCATGCGAAACGATTTGTCGCTTCCTCGGCGATTGCTTCGAGTAAAAACTTTGCTTTGCTTCTTTTTAACACTAGATCTACCAAGCAGTAAAATAGTAACCGACGCGAATTGCATTATAAAAATGAGAAGATCGAATTTATTTCGATTTTGTAAAGCTTTCATCGTAAAACTTGCTCCAGTAATTGCAATAAATGTAATTTATTCAAGGCTTTTCCGTGAAAGGGTCTGTAAATTTTGCAGAATTGCAAGATAAGAAAACGGCGATTTTTAGCGTTAAAGTAAATGTGGAATGTCGGTAAAGAATTTCGATTATCCGTTCGCGCATCGAATATTTCCATCCGTTTTCGCTGGCCGATGGAAGTTCACTGGCCGGCTGTCGGGTTTTCTTGTTGTTATTAAAAGAAAATATCGGGACAGCTGGCTCCGGTTTAAAGTAACGCGGAGCACTTCATGAACGAGTTTCTGGACGATACAACGGCTGCTGGGGGAGCGTGATATTTTTTGGTCGCGCGGACAGCTTTCGTCAGCTCGTGGCTTGCGGCCAGATCGCGTTCCACGATGTAACACGCGTACGGCGTATCCCTCTTTCCGCGTGCATCCCAGTTGCACGGATGATTTAAGGGCCCACTTACCCGACGGCCTCTGTCCCAGAGATCGCATGACCACCCCGAGCTCCGCCATCGTGATGGTGCCATCCTCGTCCTTGTCGAACAGCATGAACGCCTCCTTGAATTCTGCAACCAGAAAACCCCGTCGACCATTCGTACAAGGATCAGGCCCGCCTCCGAACAGCCATGGGCAAACGTTTCCCCATGGAACACGGCTCCGGGCATCTCCAGAATTCGAGGGCACCGAGGCCACGCCCATCCGAAGTACTCTGAGCTCGGTTCCGACACAGATTGCCCCGAGAGACGGCGTCTTCGCGGTGTCGAAGTTGAAAAAAAGGGGTCCTAGTCTCTTTGGGACTCTATAAGGAGGGGAGGGGGGTGCCACCCTGCGGTGTTAAGAAATTGGTAAAGTTTGGACATTTTTTCGATAGTTCATTACCAAATAAAAGATTTAGTCTTTCTAAGAGAATGTAGATGTAAGTTTCAGCTTTGTTTCTCCATTTTTTGAGAGCGATAGTCGTGCAAAATGGCGAAATTATTCGCTGTTTGAGAAAGCAGCAAATACTGGGTCGTTTTAATTACAAAAATTTCGTTGATTAAACTAGGAACTTTTGATTAAAATGTAGCGTATTTATTGGCGAAAATTCTAGTAATTGAAGAAATGGTCGCAGTTTGAAAAGAAAAGACGGCGAATTTTTATTCCGAGTGTTGAATTTCAACAAGGTTAGGTTATACACAAAAATCAATCTAGCAAATAGTCATAAAGAGAGAACATATTTTATACGTTCTTCAATGAAATAAAAGTTCTAACTGAGATTTCAAATAGTGCAAAGTATTAAAGTTATTCCCATAACCAAATATAATTCGATACCGAGAACTTTAAATCCCTATAAAAAGTTAAATAATTGACACAGTCAAAAATATCGCGCGCTGCATCGTAGAAACTCTATGCAGAATATCTCCATAAAATTTCGAGTAATTCGGACGTATAGTTCCTGTAATTTCGTGACGATCAGCTTGAAAAACATAGCTCGAGGAAAAAACACAAAAGATCTGTTCTCTGATAATGCGAGATATTTTAAACTTCACCTTCGGTCGCGAAATATCGCAATATCGCTTCGACATAACATTGCACGCGCTTGAAACTTTCAAAAAACGAAGAAGAAGAAAAGTTCGATTTTTCTGTTCCGTTAAGGGCGGAGTCCACCCCCGGGTCCACAGACCTTCCCACAGGTCGTGCGGTAAGTTGCATCAGAATCGCGGACAAAGACACCCTCCCGGAGCACTCTGTGTACACGGAAGGAGATAGTTCGGTGCGCCGCGCCGCTGCGAGGGGACTTCTCTTTATTTGACTTCATTTGCCCCGGAGTGTTGCCCTTGGGAGCACGTTCGCCCGCTTCGAACCGTCTCGGATTCAATAGACTCGATTGATTGGAAGGATCGCCGATGAGGAATCAATTGGATCCGGCGGAGAATCGCGACCGATATTGTCGCGACAGGGAATCTTTTTCGACTCGAAACGCGTCTCTCGATTCTCGCGTCGACTACTAAAATAACTTCTCTCTATCTCTCTCTATCTCTCTTTCTTTAGTTCGAACAGAGACACGGTATATTCCGATGCAGTCGCTCTAGAAATTCCAGAGATCGCTCGAACGAGCCGTAAATAACGGACCGGGGGGAAAAAGTCCGCCGGAAATTTGGCAATAGAACGATACACAACGAACGCCTCTGTCCGGCGTCGTCGCTTTGTTGGGAATCCGCGGATTTAGATGTCTATTAATCATGGAGAACAGCAACGGGTGCGTGTGTGTGCGTGCGCGCGCGTGTGTGCACGCGTGTCGCCGGTCCATGCGAGAAGCTACAGCTCGGGCAGGCAGCCAGCCGCGACAGAATCTCGTGGGATACGGGGTTATAAATTTTGCAGGATGTCCGACACCGGTTCTCGCAGGGAAAAGGGGGGAACATTCGAAAGTTCACGAGACCCGGCGGTCTATTACGAGACGTCCGTTCTCCTCGATGGACACGCTTGAATCTCGGCCCGCCGCTGCCGCAGCCGGTTAATTACTCGCAGGACGGAACACCGCGGTAGAGGATGCATCGTCGTGGGACACGCAAATTATCGTTTTCTCCGGCGATATTTCATCCGCACGTCCTACGCGATAACCGGCGATAAAACTTCGCAAAAATGCTCGGGGGATGGTCGCGTCGGTTCGGAAACAGTCGCGCAAAAGCTGCGCGACCGCGAGTTTCGCCCGGAAAGTAGTGTCTCGTTCTTTGTGGTAAATCAGGCGACGGGGTTAATCTTCCGCGATAGTAACCGTCGATGTACTCTAATCGGGACGTTACATCGTTTTATCAGCGAGCCTTCCACTTCCGGAAGCGCTTTTCGAATTCATCCGGCCGAATTGCCAACAGCTGTCGTCGCGTTTCTTCGGTTCCGCGGCCGTATTCCGCTGCGACGATCGGTTTATCGTTTCAGAACGGATTTTACGCGTTTATGATTTCAAAACGGGCGCGCGAAATTTCGAGCAACAGAAGTGTTCGAAGAATTTCGGAACATATGTGTGTTATTTTCAACTCGTCGCAGTTGTCGGAAACAGAAGGAGATTTCTATTCGACTCGCGTTCGTTGCGATCGACGACGATCGCTCTTTTTTGGGCGAAAAAATCCGCAGAATATCGCGGACCCGTGTTCCATCGGCTTTAATTACCTTTTCGAATATGTCAGGATTGCAATGGACCGCGGATTTTATGCATTTCTGAGCAAGAATGAACAGACGAGATGCAAAGCTGTGGAGAGTCGATGAACGAATTGGAATTCTGGAGAACATTGTCGCACTGTTTTCGACTTCCTCGAGTTAGCGAATAACGAAACATATATTTATCTAGTTTCAGCTTCTTGCGAATGACTCGGCAAACGTTCGTTTTGCATGAAAATCCGCTGGGTTGTGAGACTTCGGTCCTATCGCGTGTTCGGTACTCGATAGAGCGCCGCTGCCGGGGTGGTAAGTAAGAAGCTGTCCAAAGGTCGATTTAGAGAATCGCGTGTAAAATATGCGATTTTTTACGTCCGTCGGAGTTTCTACACACGCGTCGCGCACCGCGCAACAGGCTTCCCCGTTCCTGAAACGGCAGGATAATAAAATTACGCGGTTGTCAGGTGTAGCGCACGGAACGCGCGTGAATAATTCGCGCGGAACGCTCCGGGTTTCGAGGGCGCGGCAAGAAAAGGAGGCTTCGCGTGTGCGCCGGGCTTTAATAGCCGCGGATCGTTGCTAGACGTGGTTTTTAGACGGCGGCGCCGTTTGATCTTATCGTTTGCCGCATAGGCCGGACCGCGTTTATCATCTCGTAAACATTCGACGATGCATTTAACGTGCATAAACGAGCGGGCAATTTCTCTGTCGAGCAATCGGCGATCTCTGGTCGCGTGCCATCGCGAGAACTCGCTCTTAAACGATCCTAGACGCTAAGAGAGAGAGAGAGAGAGAGAGAGAGAGAGAGAGAGAGAGAGAAATGGAGAGAATGCAAGGGGGTGGCTCTCGACAAGGCCAATGATCGCGGTCACGTGAGACACCGCTGGAAACACGATGTTTTATGCAACATGTTCGTTACGGCAGTTGGGTCCTTATGCAAAGCCATTTTCGCAAATTGGACGACCTTCTCGGCCGGATCCATGTGCGCGCGGAGTATTTAAATCCCGCGACCCTAACCTAGGGTGTCTAGAATTTCCCGAAGATTTGCTCCGGATCGCTGCGAAAAGTGCAAACCGGCGCGGTCCCGCTGATCCGAGGAATGCGCGATTACTATGCAAGCGATGTTCCAGCGTGCACGCTCGCTTGAACCGTCTGTAACTTCGTTACTTCTGCAAATTGTGATGGATCCTTTTGCGGATACGTTTTCGGAGGCTTGGACGCGCTGCAAATGCAAAATGATATCTGCTGGATCCGGCTGCGATCACAGCGGAAACCGAGGTGCACAGTAGCGGTCGCGATACGCGTACAATATGTATCAAAAATGGACAATTTGGAAAGAGGTGATACGATTATTCGAGTCTTGCGGTTTATTTTTATAGTTATAAATTGTCCACAATCATAAAAACGAGCCGCAAGTGTGCAATGCTGTACACAGTAATCTTGTAACGTATGTATAACATTTGCAAAAAATCGATCTACACTGGCACCCCAATCTATCAGGAAATCCATCCTACTAGTCTCAGTAACTGGTCCAAAATTTTGCTATCGACCGAGGTGGACGAGTTACTGAGACTAGTGGAATTGGTTTTCTGGATTTTTCGGATCTGTCCCGTAAATGAATTCCACTGGTCTCAGTAACTGGTCCAAAATTTTGCTATCGACCTAGGGGGACCAGTTACTGAGACTAGTGGAATTCATTTTCCGAATTTTTGGGAGTCTGAGGGCGATTGCAACAATTTCAAAAGGAACAAATTTTGTATCGAAAGCGTCACGTAAGCGACCAACACGGAGTACCAAACATCGAAAAATGAGATTTGCATCTGCTGGATCTCGTAGAAATTGGACAAGTTATAGGTTTTGCAGAGAACACGTTTCCCGGTCGAGTCTCAGCGAAATCGCGTTTCTTTCGACGGATCGCGGACACGTTCAGACGTCGTTGTGCAACAAAAAAAGAACAAGAAAAATATTTGCAATTCGCGGTGGATTTCGCGAATTTCTTTCTTTCATCTCACCGCAATCATTTGTCCGCTACCGTGCGTTGCGGAGTAATGATCCGGAAACGACTCAATTAGAGAGAGGTTTACGGCATTGCGTCGAAAATGGCGAGCCACTCGCCGAGGGGGGCTTTAATTTACGAAACGAAACGGAACGAAACGAAACGGGCGTCGAGTGCAGGCCTCTGCGAAGGCTGATATATTCGTTAGCGAATAAGACTTCGGTCGTTAGCTCTCCGCGGCTGGGCGCGAGTGCCGGGCGGTTGAATGGCGGCTGGTTTCGAACTTACCGGCCACTTGATCCTCCGTGAGCCCATACTCGGACTGAAAAAAGAAAGCAGAAGAGGCTTGGATTGGTGAAACAGGAAGCGAAGAGGGCGTTCGTCAACGCGCCGCGTGATTTCGTTAAATTGTTATCGCGCTCGGCGCGTCGCAGTAGCATCCCATTAAAAACTTAATATGCGCGGCGACACGCGGGCCGCACGCGGCCTGTTTGCAGAACGCTGCCAATTCCAGCGGCCGAAAATCTCATCGATCCGATCAAATTAACCGCCGGATAGTTCTCTCTGGCCGATAATTGCCGGCCGCTGCTCCGCCGAGTGATCAAATCCTTTCTGCTGTTTTTCTTCTTCTTTTCGTTCGCCGGTCGCTCCGTTGCGGACAGATCTACGCGAACGAGAACGGTATTTCGCCACGGAATTCGAGGAACGTATTGCCGATGGCCCGGACCAGGCACAGGGTTAATTAATATGACTCGGTTCGATGCGGTCCCGCGGCCGGTGTTTAATCAAACACACGCGCCCCGGCTCCGGCTCCGGCTCCGCTCGGCTCGGCTCGCCGCGTACGAATATACGCACGCAGAATTGGCAGAATTAACGACCGTGTTCTAACTTGCAAATTGTTCGAGGCGGCGTAACAGCAACGCCGGCTTATCCGCTTCCTACACGCGGCCTGGGCCGACATTGTTAAATCAGCATTAGTAGACGGACGGATTAAGGAACATATGCCGGTGTAACGCGATTACAGGGACGTTGACTTATCAGCTGTCCAGCCAGCCGTTATCGGGCCACCCGCTTAGACCTGCAAAGAGGTCGCGGATTATGCCAGCTAGCTCTCTCCCGGCGCGCCCGTCGATGGCTCGAGAAACGCGCGCGAGGATCGTCGAGAACCTCCACGGAAATGGAACACCGAAGGATCCCTCCTCTGACACTCGATTTCGTTCGTTAGCGAGCGATGCTCGTGTATCAGCTTGTCCGCCATTCACTCGGCTCCTGGCCAATTGCCTGTTAAGCTCCCCGGCTGCCTGCTTCGGGCATAGAAACGGCCAGGTAATAATAATAATGGATTCGCTGCACAAATCGAGTCTGGAACAAACGCGGCCGAAACGAAAGCGCTCGTTCGATGCCGAGAAACGAGATCAGGGGCAAGATTAATGTTCCACGTTCTCTAGGATCCGTGGATATCTTTCCTATGGATGTGTGCTCGCAAACGCGTCTTTCGAGGGGTATTTACTTCTAAAGAGACAGTGTCGAGTTTCGACAAATAGGTTGAGTACGAAAATCAATCTAGGAAATGGTTTTTTTATTTGCCAGCTGATATGAATCGTTATTGTTTTCACCGAATTGTATCGTGCCGGTTAACGCAGACATCTCATAAAGAGAGAGGATATTTTATACCTTCTTCGATTAAATAGAAGTTCGAACTGAAAGTTCAAATACTGGAAAGTATTAAAATTATTAAATAGGAATGGAGAACGTTGCAATATTCATAACATAAGGTTGACATAACCTTGACATCTCATAAAGAAGGAAGATATTTTATACCTTCTTCGATGAAATAAAAGTTCGAATTGAAAGTTCAAATAGTGGAAAGTATTAAAGTTGTTAAATAGAAATGGGGAGAACGTTGCAATATTCGTGCTTCCGAGATCGGAGGCTACGAATCTGTCGCACTGTTTGCACTGTTCATACTAGAACTAACGAAACAGTCGAAATAATTGGTTTCCGATCTTTTTTATTTTACGATTTCTCATGTAATAATACTGTTTTCTTTATTCGAGTATATATATACATTATAACAGAAATTGCACGAGGTTCAAATAATCCGATCCTGCCTTTTTTATAAAATGACATACGTTAATCATGTTCAGGATTCGGTAGTTCTAGTCTTAACGAAGCTCCAGTCATTTGTCCCGAGTAACTGTCGACAACATTGAAACATTAACCCTCTGCATTCGAGTGGTGTCTCTAAGGCAACGTTAAAAATTGCTACACTACATTCAAAAGAATTTTCGCATTTTTAAATTTGTCTGCATTCGATAGATTGTCAAATAATAGAAGTCATGCCAAATAGAAATACTGTATATTGAAACAAGTGTCTTCATTTTTGAGTTAAAATAGTCTCGAGTGCAAAGGGTTAAAACTGAGAACAGAGCAAGCGTGTAACGAATTAGGTATGCAGTATCCATCGGTCAATTCTTTTGTTGTTAATAGCAACGTTTGTCTCCAAGCTGAAGATATAATCATTTGGAGCAAGATAATTTCAATTACTATAGTTACAATTATTTTTAATATTAAATACTACAATTTCCCGTAATAATATACCTGATAAACCTGAATCATTTCGATGCTGTACATAACCAAATAGGTCTCACAACTTCGCTAGCGAATATCTCTCGAAGAAAGCATAAACGAGCACACAGAAGAAACGTGTTTGTTTCGCGAACCTAAATTCCTACGTAAACTTCAACGATTTAATCAGGGAACGGGCAGAATAAAGCAATCTTCGTCGCGAAATTTCGTTGTGAAACGAAAACGCCGGCTAATCGGCGACGGTCGTCGGTCTCGTTCGGAGGCGTCGCCGAACGACTTTCGCGGATTACGTTTCGGAGGGCGCGTTCTCGCGGACGTATAATCGTGAGTCCTGTGGGAAAGGGACAGGCTGTCGTATCTGTCCCGCAGGAGCGAAAGCTCTTGGTTCGACGGTTCCTCGGAAGTAGACGCGAGTTGGTATTCAACTGGGTCACGTAGTTTCCCGGCGTTTCAGCGGCAGGAGGCTCGCATAAACTCGCGGAAAGTCGGCCGAGGCTTTGCCAGTGTCCGTCTGTCTGCGCCGCATTTATACATTAGCCCGATCACTTTGAATTCCGATCCGAAAGCGGAAGAAGACCGCCGTCTGAGCGAGCTAAAAGCGAGAACCGCGATCCGGGGAGCGCGAGGTGGGAATCGAGTCTCGAATTTGGCGTAACGAGACAAGCTTCGCAGCCTAAGAGAACACCTCGTCGAGAATAAAAGTTCAAGTTCGAGCCAGTCTCGAACGCGGGCGAATTGGCTTGCTTACGCTTCGCTGGCGGATCTCGCAGTCTATGGTGCTCGTCAGCCTGCGCAGCTTCCCATAAGCGGTGGTGTACTTCTTCTCGGTGTCTGTCATGTCGCCGGACACTTTATCCACTGATGATCGGACGCACTGGCATTCGCGGCACCCTTCGATTCCAGCCCGGCGGACGCACCCGGAGCCTCGGATCTCGCCTAAGCTCGCCTAAACTCGCGGCGCGTCAAAACGCGGCGGCGCGACGACACAACACTGACACAGAAATAATATTTATGGACCGATCGGCGGCAACGTCACCGGTTGTTTGCGACCACGCCAGCCCGTTCGACGCGTCTCGGGTTCATTCTGATTCCCCCACCCACAGCCGAGAGGGAGATTAGGATAGCGCGTGGTCCCGTGTCCAAGCACCCGAGTTGCACTCGAGAAAACAAACGATTTTACGCAGACGATTGCATCCGAGAAAGTCGGGATGCACCCCTCCCCCGTCCCGAACACGAGCCACGAGGAGGGGATCCGCCACCACTCTCGCGGTTTTCATTGTCCTTTCACTGCGACGCACCTCGACAAAACTGGCCGTGAATCTTTAGACAACCTTCGGCTGTTTTTAACCTGTCAGCCGAATGTTGGCCGGCGATCTATTCTTTATTTACCACGGATCCATCCTCCGTCCTCCTCGCGGACCACCTCGATCTCACGTCTTTCCGCGATGGCCGTGCGCGCCTCTGCCAAATTGACCGCCCGGTGTCACTCGATGCCTGTACACACCTTCGTGACAAGTCTCGGACAACACAGGGTGGCCGCCGCATTCGCTGAATCAACCGCGCGCGTGCTCGTCACCCGATTTTGGCGGGCGCCGACTGCGATCCGTGGCACCGACGCGAATACCACCGCTGCGCTAACTTTAGGCGATCTTATCATCCGAGGATCTCCGATTGGGACGTGATTCTCGTGCCAGATAGAGTCGAGTTTCTTGAACCTCGTGGAAATTACGAGCGCGGGGTCGACCGCGTCCGAACAGAACGGAGAGGGTGAACTCTGGCTGGGGGCTGACCGTTTCACCTTTAGGAGGACGACGGAGGATCTTGATGCTGCCGTGATTTCTGCCATGGCGAAGGAACTCGTCGATGAATACAGTGCTCGATGGCGGAAGGGTGCGGGCTATCTTGAACTACCGGCCGACCTGTTAACCTTTGGGATGATGATTGAGGATGTAGATGCAAAGGAGAGTTCTGCCGGGTTGAACGAATCCGTGATTCGTCGGTGAAACTACCGAGAGTACTCTTGATGGTGCATAGCTGCAGGCTACCTTCAGCTCGCAGACGAACTTTTAGCTTTCGAGATGACGAGGAGGATAAGGAGATGTAATGATAATGTTCTTGTTCTTTATTAGTAGTGATTGGTAATAGTTATTTCTGTAATAGGGATGCTACACGATGGACCAGCATTCTGATCGCGATCGAACCGCTGCACAATGTGGTACTCTAAGAATATTTACGTTGTTGCACTACAATCTGGATCAGGGGTGGCGAAAGCGTCGTAAATATTCCTAGTTGTCTGTCTGTCTGATATCGTCTATGTTTGTTTCGAATTTAAACTTATTTCTCGCTTTAAATTACTACTTTTCTTATGATCGCTTAACGCATCAAATGTTGTCAGGCCGCCGCTTATAATTTCAAAGAGACAGGTCGCTCGTAGTGATCATGAAGTTTGGTCATCTAAATGAACCGTTTATTTTGAAAATGGCATAAGTCACTTTGTTTTTAAGTCGATATATTTAAGGGTTTGCGTTTTAACACGTTTAAACATATGGATGCTAATTTTCGAGAAGATTTACTTGTATTTGTTATCTCAGGATACTGATATTTTTCTCAGTATAAATAATTTCGTATAAACATTAAAAAATCACCACTTCTCATTACGGTAAAGTGACTTATGCCACTTTCAAAATAAACGGCTCAAATCACGACCATCCTGGCCCGCTTTGAGTCGCTCTTGTCACGGAATCGCCGATTCGCCGGCGTTCGGTCAATCCGACGAATCAACAGCCAATCTGTCCGATGAAATCGAGTCGAGACGCGGCTCCTGCGTCAGCGAATTAATCGTTGCTTACGACACCGGGCCGCGGGTCAAGTGGAAGATCGTTCCCAATTGGGTGCGCGATCGCGACGGACATCGATTCCGCGTGTCGAACAACATCTTGGGATGCTACTGGCCCGCATAAATGCAACCCCGGACCTGTGCTACCATCTGATGGATGGAGGAAGGTCGTCCGACCACTGGCGGCCGTTTCTACTTCTAGTCGGTAGTGCAGGTGCTAACCTGCGGATTGGAACCGCTGCGCGGTCTCGATTTTCCTTGGAATTAACCCTCGGCCTGCGGCGACCGGGTCTTTCGCGACCCGATTTATTTAAACGGCAATTCTCGGCGATTGAGTGAAATGAATGGCTGTTACACCAGAAATAACAGAGAGATTGACAAGTCTATAATTTTCCTTGGAATTAACCCTCGGCCTGCGGCGACCGGGTCTTTCGCGACCCGATTTATTTAAAGGGTAATTCTTGACGATTAAGTGAAATGAATGGCTGGTACACCGGAAGTAACAGAGAGATTGACAAGTCCACGATTTTCCTTGGAATTAACCCTCGGCCTGCGGCGACCGGGTCTTTCGCGACCCGATTTATTTAAACGGCAATTCTCGATTAAGTGAAATGAATGACTGTTACACCGGAAGCGACAGAGAGATCGACAAGTCTACGCGAAATATCTTCGGAGAAATTGTTGAATAATGCACGGAATTGTTATAAACATCGTGTCAGTCGTGACAATGATCCGCTGTCCGAGGGTTAAAAGTCCCGGATCGATTTTTTCACGGACAAGCTGTGCCATCGTTTTGTCTCCATCTTCCTCGGAACACAAAAGAGCTTTCGGCGGAGCTTTCGGCGTTAATGGAGCCTGATTTCTCCAGGGAACGGAGTCATTCGGCCGCCAAAAATAGTCTTTAATTGGCGATCACAATCTGCGCAATTTCATCGACTCGAAAACGCTATTCCCATTACCTTGTTCCTAATCCGAAGGCTGGAACTTTGAAACTAGCCGAACGCGTTTCGTAATATAATGCACGGCGCCGAAAGGCGAGGCCTCGCGTTTGTGTCACCTTCGCTTTTTAATCAGCTCTTGTACACCGGTGGTTGGCTTAACCAATTAGCTGTTCTCGACGAGTACGCTTGCCGTGCAGAAATGGCGGTATTTTCTGTTCTGATGAGTATACTCGTTAGACGGAATAATTTGCTGTTTAAATTGCGATCTTAGTGAAAACTAAAATATATCGATAACCAGGCAAAGAAGAAATGAAAGGAACGAATAAAAATAATTATTGACGAAGAATTAGGTTAGGGTTGTAACCCAGGTAGTATGCTGATGTCGTCGCTTCTTTTTCGCGACAGATTTTAGGTACACACTTTTCGAAGAGATCGCAACAGATAATTGGTTAAGGAGCTGAAACGGACATCGATCGAAATATAAAACGATTATTCTAATTTTTAACACTAGAACTACCGAGCTCTAAATGCGACTAATATTTATTGTTTATAATCTATAATAATTATGTATATCGCGTAATTCTATATTTATAATTTTTAATAATTATATACATTGGATAATTCCATATTTATAATTTATAATAATTATATATATCGGGTAATAACATCTATAATAATAATATTAGATATAATTAGATAATAATTATATTATAGATATTATTATCCGATATATATAATTATTATAGATTATGAATATAGAATTACCCGATATATACATATAATTATTATAGATTATAAATATAGAATTATTCGATATAATAATTATATCACAGATATTATTACCCGACATATATAATCATATAATTATAATCTAAAATATTATAATTTATAATATTAATATATTCCTCGCCTTCCGGTTTCCAATTTTCTTTTTCTAAACAGATTTATTTCAATTCCGTATAATTTTCATTATAATGTATGCTCGAATGAAGAAGTTTGTATAAAAATGTTTAACAAGAACATTTTTATAGCATCAGGAATTGTAAAAGAAAAAGGATTGGGAACCAGTAATTTCGACCGATTAGTGTTAATATCAATCAATTTTGTTCTCCCCTAATAAAATTCTTACAATCGAAAAAAACATTTGATCATTGTAACCGTGAAACTAACGATGCTGGAAGGGATGAACAGAGAGCCAGACTCACCAAGTTGATGGTAACGATGAGATCATACTGCTGCCTCTGTCCCTTCTTCTTGTTCTTGCCGCTCTTGACGGAGACCGCCTTGGGCGTGACTTTAACCTGCCCTTTCTGAGCGGACGGCTTCTGGGCCGGCTTCTGAGAGCCCTTCGCGCCGGGAGCGACCTTCTGTCCGGCGGCGAGGGGCGCCTTCTGCCCGGTGGCACCCTTCTGGTTCACGTGTCCGACGCCGTCAGCCGATTTGTTGCGAGCCTGTCGTCGGAAAATAAAAAAGAACATCGGTTAAATTTGCCAGGCGCGATCGATCGGCGGCTGCGAACGCGAACGGTTCCGCGCCTGCCGAAGGAGAATTCGTTTCACACGCGATGCGATAAAACGCGGGATCTCTTGGCGCCGAAGCGGACGGCGATCATCGAGTATTCCTTTTGATCGTGCCGCGATCAAAAATGCAGCGGACAGAGAGCCGCGCGCCTCGTTTAATCCGCCGCTTCGCGCGTCCGACGTTCGAACGGATTTTTCGGTCGTCCGCGCCGCGCGATTAATTCGCATGTCCGCCATCTTCGGCGGATTCCCCGCTACGGGGATCTCGCGAAATCGGGGAACTGGACCATTTGGGAATCCGATAACCGAATATTATTCATTCCGCGATCTCTGTTCCGGATCCCGCGGCGGAACGAGCCCCGATCGGCTCGAGTCTGCCGCGCGCCGTCTCGTGATTAGTCGTTTCGTCGGACGAGAGGGCCCGGTTACGAGAGCTTTAATCGCGGAGAGGCTTTTTCCCCGATATTTTCGCTCGGCGCGAACCTCGTGCCGGCAGAAATCCGCTAACGAGAAGAGACGAGCCCCCGGGGAAAAATCAAGTGTCTCACTCTCACGGCGAGGACGACGAGGATTTTTCGCCGGCCGGAACAGAGATATTCGTTTCTGCTAAGGTCGCGGGACGAACAATACCTTTAATTACGAGCGAGCGTTGAGTCAACATTTTCGAGGCCGGGATGCACCGCGCGCCGCATTGTTCACGGGCCTCTGCTAATGACACGCCAGCGACGCGCCACGCCGCGGGACGATGCTCGGTAATCTCCGAGATTCTACTCGTCGCGCGCCGCCGAGCCTATTGTCCCGTTTTTCGGGCCGGTTTATCGACGGAATCAATCGGATCCCGCGACTGTCATCAACGTCGAGGGCTGGCCACTCTCGCGGTGCTGCTTAGCTGCCAAACAGGCTTGGTGGAGAGCTACCGCGAACAGGGCAGCCGGGGAATCAGCGGATCGTGCAATCGTGTTCTCGAACGGGAGAGCAATTTTGATCATTTTTTTCGTCAACTTGTGCTTTTTGTTTCGGGTCGGGGATTTTTTCTAGGACGCTTCGTGCCTCGGACTGTACGCTAAAAAAGTTGCATCGACATTCTTCCGGTAGGAGCGTTTTTAAAAATCTTCCAATTCGGCGCTGTTCGGTGACGATGGTTTCGGTGGAACATCACTGGAAACAATTTTGCACGTATTTAGTAAACATTTTCTTCGAATGCTTACGATTGTTGTATTGCTTCGCAATTTTTTTCTGGGACAGTTTGGACCTTGGAATGTAACGAGAATAATTAGCATCGACGTACGTTCGTTAATAATGTTACGAAAAATCTTCCAACTCGACGATGTTCCGTGACGACGGTTCCGGTCGCCGGCAACAATTTCGCACGTACTTATTAAACATTTTCTTCGAATGCTTATGCTCGTTATACTGCTTCGCAATATTTTTCTGGAACAGTTTGGACCTTGGACCGTAACGAGAAAAATTAGCATCGACGTATGTTCGTTAATAACTTTAAGAAAAATCTTCTAACTCTCGGCGATATTCGATGACGATAGTTTCGGTCGCCGGCAATAATTTTGCCCGCACCTATTAAACATTTTCTTCGAATGCTTATGCTCGTTATACTGCTTCGCAATATTTTTCTGGAACAGTTTGGACCTTGGACCGTAACGAGAAAAATTAGCATCGACGTATGTTCGTTAATAACTTTAAGAAAAATCTTCTAACTCTCGGCGATATTCGATGACGATAGTTTCGGTCGCCGGCAATAATTTTGCCCGCACCTATTAAACATTTTCTTCGAATGCTTATGCTCGTTATACTGCTTCGCAATATTTTTCTGGGACAGTTTGGACCTTGGACCGTAACGAGAAAAATTAGCATCGACATACTTTCGTTAACAACGTTACGAAAAATCCCCCGAGTCATCGTTGCGTCGCAACAACGTTTCCCGCCCAGCCGCTGTAAAAAAATGTTGCGCGCACCTATTAAACCTTTTATTCTCGTGCTTACTCTTCTCGTTCCGGTTCGCGATCTTTTTCTGGGGCATCTCGAGCCCTGAGCCGCCAGCGAAAAAATTCCGCCGCGGCGTTCCACCGCCGATAACGTCCCTGAAAATCGCGCGACTCTCGCGGCGACATTTTCATCGAAACCGCTCCGGCAATTTCGCGTGCGGCTTGCAAATATTTCGCGTGACAGCGGCAAAACCGATTTAAGCGAAACATCGAAAACGACTGCATCGACCGGCAACAATTCCCGGATCGAGCGATTTCCATTGCGACTGGTTAACCCGAATTTCTCGGGCATTATCGACAGCCGAAGGGAGCTTTTTTGGCCGGCGGAGATCCACGAATCGAATATCGTTGTTATCGCGAGCCGAACGGCGCGGCCGGCGTAGATTCGGATCTCTGGAAACGAGTTGGGATCCCGACGGCGCGGATGCCTATCGGTGGCAAATAAATCGAGTTAGTTGATACAAACTGCCGGCCGGAAACCGTCGGACATCGAGGCCAAGGAGGATGCTTCGAGAACCGAGCGACACGTTCGTCGAATTCCTCCGCGAAAGTCGGCCGATCCGGGTGGCTGGGGGAGGAAGAAACAGGCCCGGATCTTTCTGCCCGAAATGGCAACCGATCGCGATCGAAGGGAACGACGACGAGCCCAGGGTTCGTCGACCGTTTGTCCAATTACTCGACAAGGTGGACTTTCCTCTAAATATAGAGCGACTCCGTGAGATACACAATCGGTATTGGACGTTCTAATAATACCGGCGAGTTTATTCAAATAATAATTCAGCGGAGGAGGCGGCGGCGGGGGCCGCGTGGGCGGAACTGACGAGATAATTATAGCGTGCGCCGTCTACCGCGTTCTTACGAAAAGCACTATATCACCGCGGGCCACGCGGCCACGAAAAAACGCGGCAAGAACTGCACGTCTTCGCTCCCGTTCGCCGGTGCAAGCTGCAACCTTTTTCCGGAACGGCCGATGCATCGGGTTACACGGTTGTGCAACTGTACCGACGCACCCGCGCCGCCCGGAAATTCGCGCGAACATCATCCGCGCGCACCGTGCTAATTTCGATGGCCGTTCCAGGATCATCGACTGCAACGTTTCCTCTATTCCCTGGCTACCGGAACCGAGTTTATCTTTCGGAAACGAATAGCAGACGCGGCGACGACCCATAGAGAAACGCCGATTGTTTGCAACGATAACTCGAGGAATTCCTGGGGATATTAAATTTCTCCGCGGCCGATAAAAAGAATCGGCGCGATATATATCGCGGGCGAACGACGGCTGCGGCGACTGGTTGAATGGAAACCAGTAGTATCATAGTCTGGAATGTTTTGAAATAGCACCCGCCGTCCCCACCTCTTCGTTACGCCCCCGCCCTCGCGGATCCCCGGCACCCGGGCCGCCTCCGTCGGATCGCCGCGCCGTGGCGCACGAAAATTTTATTGCTTTTCCCTCAAAGTTTTTGGCAGGCTATCCGAGCCCACGCAGAAAACAGTCGCATTACGGCCGGCTCTAAGTAATACGTCCGTTGCGTAATGCATCGGGTTTACCCATTTTCGGACGCGCATTCCTCCGGGGACGCGCCGCGACGGTGCACTCAGCGCCGATTTATCGCTTCGCTGCGACCGCGAGTCCTCTCGATGATTTAGAGCCTCGGCCGAGGACTCGCGAACTTTTTCTTTTTTTTTGCTTTTTACGATCGCTGTTTTCCGAAACTTCCGACCGTTTCGCGTTGCAACAACTCATTGCGGATTCGTCGCGTCCGCGACGAAGATCGAACTGGGAAACTTGAAAGATGTCTGAACGCATCGGAAAGTGCACGATGCACTTCGCTCGGCGAAGCGTGTCGATATCGTGGCGAGCTTTGAGCAGCGAAGAGTCGTTAATTCGACTCAGAGATGGTGCAGTCGAACGATCTAACAATGAACGTCGATCTTTAACGGCGCACTCTGGTTGGGAAATTCGCATTCCGTGGCTTAAATTGTTTTTCCGTTGCTTCAAGGTTTATTGTTATAACTGGACTGCGGATTTTATGCATTTATGACGGAGGTTGTTACATTCAATGTGAAATAGTAGAAACATTTAAGGAATTTAAAGATACTGTTGCGTTATTTTTAACTGAATGAGATAATTCAAGGCGGAAAGAAGAGTCTGGGCAGCTTCTTTATCTTGTAGATAATGCAGACAATTTTTATTTTGCATAAATAATAATAATTATAATATAGTTCGTTGAATTCGTCTCATAATATAATATTATGAAGTCGGAAATATATATTAATATTAATAGAATTGAAATGGATTCATTTATTCCCAACAAAAATTTTGTTTCTGTAATTTAATGTATTAAAATTTGTAAACGAAGAATGAATACTACGTTTGAAATTTGCTTGTCGCTCTTCGCAGTTGTTTAACCTTTCATGCGAAGAAAGTCTCGTGTCTATTAATATCTAATCACTTCTTTAAACCCTTCTCAAAGTTTAAATTGTTTTAATACTGCGAAATTCGTACACGGTTCATAACATTTAATTTTCTGTCATATCTCCAAAACGAGTTTTCAGATTAATTAATATCACATTATATGAATTTTCGAATTTTATCTTCACCGTGACGTCCTCGGACACATAATTATTTAAAACAGCTAATATTTTCGATTCTGAATCTTCGAACGGCTATCAATAGATCGCAGATTTTATGCATCTCTACTAAAAATCAATAAGCCAAATGCAAGACTAAAAAAAAACGTTAAAAGAAGATAAGATCATTGTTGCATTATTTTCGACTGATCACGATCGTTAAAAGAGAAAAGTGTACTTTTCACCTAATTCAAACTCTTTACAATGAACTCGGACGATCTTCGTCTCGCACAAAGATCCGCGGCCTATATCAACAAATCTCTGCTCGAGAATTGTTTGGCCGTGTAATACCTGAAAAATGTGATTTCGGCGAGGATAAACGGGTTGCCGGGCCGGCGCGCGGCTCCGCGGCCGGTTAAAGAGACCGAGAAGCCGAGGGCGGTTCTTTGACAGCCGGCCTTGAATCGAGCCCGTGGTTTTCGAGCCCGTTGGTTAACCGTTTCCACGGAGAACCGTAGCATTATAGCACGAACGCGAGCTGGCGTCGGCTCATGCTGCGAGGAGAGCTGTGAATTTCGACAGCTCGCAGGAAGGGACGCGAGAAGAGAGACGGCTCTTCTCCCCTTCCACGCGTGCCGGCTAAGCTTATAAAAGATATATCCAGCGCGGATAAGCCGTTAGTGAGAGAGAACCGAGAGACACGTCGTAGTTCCGCGGCGAGGAAAGCCGGAAGATGGTTAGTTCCACGTTTCGTACCGTCGCTCGCAACGTTTCGTACCGAGAACGTACAGAAAATCTGCCTATCTCTCTCCGTCTCTCTTTAGCCCTATTAAACAGACTTTGTCGACGGGATCGCGTCACGGATTTGCCGGACGCTCGGAAAGGGGGGCAGGAGATTCGCGTAGCGATCATTTTTTTGTGGATAGTGAGAGGCGAACGCTATCCGCGCAACGGGCGCCCAAAGGTCCGCGCGGTCCTCCGGCGACGATCGAGTAGAGCAATTTCCAGCTGAAACACGGCGTCGCGTCGGTTCGTTCGTTCGTCCGTAAAAAGAGAGAAAAAAGAAACGAAAAAAAAAGAGAACGTCGACAGAGTCTAATGACGGCCGTTTCCAGAGGAACTGATAAAAGTGTCGCGCGCGCGCACCGCGCCCCTCGGTCCGGAACTGGGTCGCAAACTGAGAGTTGTTGTTTCTGTTTCAGGACGAGGAACAAGTGAAAAGTGAGTAGCCGATGACGGAGAGGACGGGCCGGAACCGTCGCCGCGTGCAAATAGAATCCGCTTCTGGCTTCTGCTTCATCGGTCTCGGCCCGCGTCAACAAGTACGATGGCCGGTGTTCCTTCTCCTCGGAAGGAAGGAAGGAAGGAAGCGACGGAGGGAATGTCGCGAGCTCTTTGAAATTTGGGTCGCGCGACCGATGTGTATCTCACGGTGCTAGATGCGACCGGGACGACATCAAAGACCGGCCGAACCCCGGCGCGTGGTTGCTCATTAAGATTTGTCGCGGCGACGCGGCCATCCTCGATCACGATCCGCTGCCAAATCGCATCGCGGCCCGATTCGATTTATCGCCGGCACGGCCAGCATCCTCGTTCCCAGGCTCCTCCGTTCCATGGGAGAAGCTCGCGTTGCGCAATCCGACTCGCAATCGCAAAATAAACCGCGGATCGACTAGCCCGGCCCGTTATATTAATACACGCGCCGCTCGGGCACGTGTAAATAAATTCTACGCCGGCGTCGCGACGCCTCGCAGCAATAACGCAGATACTACTTTTCCATCGTTTGCCGCGATTTACGAAATTCCATTCGATAGCAATGTCTCTCCAACTGACGCTCAGATTCTTGACATAACCTTGGCAATTTTGGAAAAGGAGATACGATTATTCGAAACTTGCGGTGCGTTTTTATAGTCTCAAATTTTCAACAACCATAAGAACGAGCTGCAGAGCTCGAATAATCGTATCACCTCTTCCCAAATTGTCCATTTTTCTGCACAATCTGAGCGTCAGTTCGGGAGACATTACTGTAATATATAATATAGTAAAAATGTTGGTCGTTCTACAGCAAGCTCCTGTCTTCTCGCGGCAACAAAATCGACGTTCATTTGCCGGCTGAGACACGATACTACTACCAAATCGCTTGTGTTTTACAGTGCTCAGGAGGGCTTTCTCCATGTTCGACTCGGCGAAGTCGGGCCGCATCGAAAAGGAAAAAGTGAGGACGATTCTGAACACCCTGGGGCACACTTTCGACGATCACGAGCTCGAGGTGATTCTGAAGCAGGAGGACGAGGAAGGTGCGTTATATCCGATGGTGCTATTAAGAGATAATCGTCGATCGTTCCCGCCGCGGGGCCAGCGATTGCTCCTCGCGTAACAATTTTTGGATCGATGGAGGACGGACGGTTCGATCGAGCGACCGAACTCGGGCCCGAATAATTCATGCGGTAATGAGTGGAAGCAACGGGAGCCGGACACACACCGACGCGAAAACTTTCCTAAAGTTTTGCCGAAGGTAGCCCCGGGTGGCCGTTCGAGTTTCATTTCAATCGATCCGCGCGAGTGCCTACGGTTGCCGAGCATGCACAAGCGAACGGGCCGGGCCGCGTTTCCCAGCCCGAACGGAGCGAGCGAGCGACGCCAATCGAAATCGAAACGACCCGATATCTCGGCCCTGCTCTCCATTATGGTCTCGAGACTAGATCGAATCAGTGATCCGCGAGATACAGCGCCGACATGATCCGCGCCGCGGGATTTCCGGCGACCGGGCTTTCAAAAAGAAGAATGGCACCCTACAGGATCTAGCCGGAGATATCCGAGCGCGCCGGCTCCTTTTTACCGTGAAAAAGAATTAGGTCGGGCTAGAGAGAGCCTCTCTGCTCGCTCCTGTCTCTCTCCCTTTCTCTCTAGCTATCTCCTCGCATACTTTCCTCTCCCCGTATTCCGGCCCGGTTCACCGTGTATCGACTGCGAGAGCCTGCACCCTCTGGCACGAGTCGCGCGTCAGACGCGGCCGCCGTCAAAGAGCTTCTCACCCACGCGATCCACGCCGCTGAGAAGATTAAAACCGGTTCACCCGTTAATTTGAAAGCTCGGGTTAGTCGAGCAGAGCCCGGCCCGTCTCGCCCGTTATTAATCCAGCTGACGGTAAAAGGGCTACTGCTCCAGTCGTACCCCTCGAGGCACTTCATCTCTCCCTCGGCTTGTTAACCAGCCTGCCGATTTACTCGATTTTTAAGCCGACCAGTTCTTTTTTCCCTTTCTTTGTTCTTTCTTTTTTGTACTTTTCGAGAAACGTTGGGCCTTCCGGTGCTCGCCAGGGGGGCTCGTCGATCGTACATTCGAGGCATTCGGTGTGAAAACAATATAAGCCGGTCTGTGCTCGGAAGCTAAAACGACAAACGAAGTGTTTGTTCATCGATTTTATACGATATAATTGGAACCGAGGTTTTTTGATATCGCCAAATATTTTTGTCACTTGGCTTACGAATTACCATTAAAATGCGATAATCGATTGTCGGATATTCTTGTCGAGGAAAAAACAGGTAGAGTTGCAGCAGAGAAATGTTGTTTCTATGAGGAATTTTTTGTCGATTTTCGCCGATTTCCGTCGATTCAACGGGCGAAGTTTTATAATGCAATCGAATGTTCTTTTATTGCCCGGCAATAAATTAGAATAAAAATGCAGTCGATTATTGGATATTCTTGTTGAGAAAGAAGCAGAATTACAGTGGGAAAACTTTCTATGTAGTTTTTAGGAAGAATTCGCGTTTCTTGCAATGAAAAGGGAGAGTACGCGTGAAACAATGCAACCTATCGTCGACGAACCGTTCGTTCTACTGTATTTGGACACATTAACACGAAATTATTTAGAATTTAATTTCTAATCCATAAAAATTTCTCAAATTTATTAAGACTCGCAAGGGGTAAGAATGTTGAAACAGTAATCGATGCCATAACATAACTTTGCTTTGCAAGTATAATTTAACCCTTCGCATTCACCCTTGGCCACATATATTTAATAAATTTGTTTATATTCAAAGAATTGTTAAAAGTGTAATTATTATACGAGCGAGTAAATTGACTTTCATATGCAAACAATATAAAAATAATACAGTACTGGAAGAACTATCTTAGTCTCGAAGTTAAAACAGCTTCGAGTGCGAAGGGTTAATCAATCCAAAATTCTTTAAATCCATGAAATTTTAAGACGTTTTCTAAATACTCGGAAGAACATTCTCGATTCGTTAATTTTTTGATAACCGCAGAGAATCGCGTTCACACGCCGCTTGCACCGCAGAACGACCGTAAATTCGAGTTAAGACGTTTTCGCGCCGAATGCCTCTCAATTTCATCGTTCGGCGAACACTGAATCAAAGTCCCGAGTCCGCGAGTTTCCGTGAGGACCGTTCGCGACTCATATTTCTGAGTCGGGCGGGGTTAAAGGTGGCTCGTGCGGCTCGGAATTACCGGGTCCGCAGTTCCGCCGCGACACGTATATCGTTTCCTAAGAAACGCGGATCGAACAGCTCTAGCCGTCCGGACCGGATAGGTTCGAGGGCGGTGCATTTAAGGATGACGTTGATCAGTGACACGTCCAGCCGGAATTAGCGTAAGCCCTTGAAGTCGTTTCTCGGAATCGAGACGTCCCCGCCCACCCTTTCTCTCTCTCTACCTCGGCGTTGTTGTCGGGTCGCTTTGTCGAGTTGCATTATTATGCAGATATTGTCCTGGTGGCCTGCCGATCGAACTCGCTTCGGGTATTCCGGTCAGCGTCGACACGGATCCAGCTATCCAACGGGAGAGAGTCGAGCTGGTGTGGCGGTCGCCGGTGTTTCCGTCCGCCGATCCCCTTTTCCCGGCGAGACCGTGTTTTCGCCGTTATCAATTTCGAAATTTCTCTATTCTTGAAAATTCTCAACGCTGCGGCGTTGCGTAAACGGGACCGCTTGGAACGCTACCAAGTATATTGTCCTCCTAGTGTTTTCCTATCGGCAAAAAACCGGCGCGGCGCGAAAGGGAAACGGGGAAAGGAGCCGCCGAACGGGACCGGAGTTGTTTACACCGACTCGCCGAACAGGGGGCTGCAAACCCTTTCGTCACGTCCGAAATTATTTTAAGGTTATTACAAGATTGATATTGAATTGATTAATATTGTCGAGTCAAAAGTATATACTGATATTAAAAAATATCGAAATGACTTCGATCGTTTGTTACAGATACTTTGTTTCTGAAATTTTATGTAGCAAAATTTGTAGAGAAATGGAAACTGATGAACTTCGGTTCGATACATTTTGTTGCCAGATCGTCGGAAATGTGTGAGAAGTCGCTGAAAAGTTCGTTTCAGTCGCATTTGTAAGAATTGCATTGCATCAATTTTGCAGAACTCGAAGACAGTCGTCTGAAGGCACTTGAAATTTGCGTGTTTATCTTCGACATTGTCTAAGCTTTCACATGAAACAAGTTCCGCGTCTGACACTTCTAAACATCTTTTTGAAACCCTTCTGAAAGTTTAAATTCTTTAAATATTGCTGCGTACATAAATTAATAGAATCATTGGGACTAATTAAATACTGAAAATAAGCCTATCAATATGTACATAAAACATTAATTAAAATTAGGACATTAATTATTTCCGATTTTTGTCATTAGCGCGACGCCCCCGCGTATATAATTATTTAAAATGGCTAATATTTTGGATCTTGAAGCTTTGAAGCGTTATCAATAAATGTAGGCCAAAGTTTTATCGAAATGTAATACCTGAAAAATTTCATTTTGGAAACGATAAACGGGTTTGCAGAGTTTCCAGTCCTCTCTCTCTCTCTCTCTCTCTCTCTCTCTCTCTCTCTCTCCTCGAAGTGGATTTTAATCGGACCCGGTTTGATTTTCAGGCAGCGGCAAATTGAATTTCGACTCGTTCTACCGGGTGGCGTCCCACTTCCAAGAGGAGGACGACGAGGCGCTGCAGAAGGAGCTCAAGGAGGCTTTCAGGCTGTACGACAAGGAGGGCAACGGATATATTCCCACCAGCTCTCTCAGAGAGATCCTAGCAGCCCTCGACGATCAGATAACGCCCGATCAAATGGACGGCATGATCGCTGAAATTGATACCGACGGATCCGGCACTGTTGACTTTGACGGTAGCTATCTTTCCCCGCTTTGCTCACGCGGCTGAGATCTCGCCTTCGAATCTTCCGTTCTCGCCTCGATACCTCCGCGTGTCCCTCTTGAGATAAACAACCGACTCCCACGCTTCGTTCGTCCGCGTTTTAAAAGTAATCGAAAAATAAGGGGGCCGCGACGACGATTTTGCGAACAGTTTTCGAATTTCCAAACCCGGCACACGTTGCCAGCATTTGCCCGAGCGCGCGCGCGTGCGAGGGCTTGATTAAACCTCGAACGTCTTAATACCGGTCTTTGAAAGCTCCTCTGAAAAAGCTCGGAGGCCGCGCATAAAGGGGCAAGGACGACCTACTTGCTCCGCAGGAGAAACATTCGTCGCGGAATGAAAAGGGTGCTCAACCCCCTCCGCCCTCCCCCGCCGCCCTCTCGTAATCTTCGGGATCTTGGTCGATCCGGGTAGGGTCGCGAGCGTAATAGCTCCGACGTGGAATTGTCGGAACCGGTCTCCTAACTGCGTCTGCTTTCTTTCATCCCGCAGAGTTCATGGAAATGATGACCGGCGATTAAACGCAAGAAGACCGCGAATGCCACGTGGGAGAGAAAGCGAGAGAAAGAGAGGGAGATAGAGAGAGAGGGTGAGAAAGAGAGAAGAATAGGAAGAAGAAGAACCTTGCATTTTCCATTCTACTTCTACGGAACCGACTTCGATCGACCAAGACAGCAGCAGCGACGCTTCGCAACGGATCGAAGTAGCACAGGGAACCGTCCTTCATTTCATTTGTACATTTGTTTGCGCCACGTTTGTAACGACACCGTCGATTAAGCACACGATTAAACGTCATCTTAACCGATCCGGCCGTTTCATTCGCCGAAAGGAGACCCGCCGCGGGGATTAATAACGGGCACCCATCGATCGAGGCTCGATCCGACGCAAGTTATGGCCGCCGGGCCCGGAATCGACGGCCCACCATTATTCTCGGCGTCGCGCGATCAATTCGACGACAAGCGACCCGTGTCCTCGCCGCTTGCCGGAAGCTGCGCGATTCCGCGAATCAATCCGGCCGCGATCCGCCCGGAGGATCAACCCTAACGACGATCTCGGCTCGAAAATCCATCGCGCATTGTCTGTCAATCTCGCCGATTCCCCCGAACCNCCTCGAAGTGGATTTTAATCGGACCCGGTTTGATTTTCAGGCAGCGGCAAATTGAATTTCGACTCGTTCTACCGGGTGGCGTCCCACTTCCAAGAGGAGGACGACGAGGCGCTGCAGAAGGAGCTCAAGGAGGCTTTCAGGCTGTACGACAAGGAGGGCAACGGATATATTCCCACCAGCTCTCTCAGAGAGATCCTAGCAGCCCTCGACGATCAGATAACGCCCGATCAAATGGACGGCATGATCGCTGAAATTGATACCGACGGATCCGGCACTGTTGACTTTGACGGTAGCTATCTTTCCCCGCTTTGCTCACGCGGCTGAGATCTCGCCTTCGAATCTTCCGTTCTCGCCTCGATACCTCCGCGTGTCCCTCTTGAGATAAACAACCGACTCCCACGCTTCGTTCGTCCGCGTTTTAAAAGTAATCGAAAAATAAGGGGGCCGCGACGACGATTTTGCGAACAGTTTTCGAATTTCCAAACCCGGCACACGTTGCCAGCATTTGCCCGAGCGCGCGCGCGTGCGAGGGCTTGATTAAACCTCGAACGTCTTAATACCGGTCTTTGAAAGCTCCTCTGAAAAAGCTCGGAGGCCGCGCATAAAGGGGCAAGGACGACCTACTTGCTCCGCAGGAGAAACATTCGTCGCGGAATGAAAAGGGTGCTCAACCCCCTCCGCCCTCCCCCGCCGCCCTCTCGTAATCTTCGGGATCTTGGTCGATCCGGGTAGGGTCGCGAGCGTAATAGCTCCGACGTGGAATTGTCGGAACCGGTCTCCTAACTGCGTCTGCTTTCTTTCATCCCGCAGAGTTCATGGAAATGATGACCGGCGATTAAACGCAAGAAGACCGCGAATGCCACGTGGGAGAGAAAGCGAGAGAAAGAGAGGGAGATAGAGAGAGAGGGTGAGAAAGAGAGAAGAATAGGAAGAAGAAGAACCTTGCATTTTCCATTCTACTTCTACGGAACCGACTTCGATCGACCAAGACAGCAGCAGCGACGCTTCGCAACGGATCGAAGTAGCACAGGGAACCGTCCTTCATTTCATTTGTACATTTGTTTGCGCCACGTTTGTAACGACACCGTCGATTAAGCACACGATTAAACGTCATCTTAACCGATCCGGCCGTTTCATTCGCCGAAAGGAGACCCGCCGCGGGGATTAATAACGGGCACCCATCGATCGAGGCTCGATCCGACGCAAGTTATGGCCGCCGGGCCCGGAATCGACGGCCCACCATTATTCTCGGCGTCGCGCGATCAATTCGACGACAAGCGACCCGTGTCCTCGCCGCTTGCCGGAAGCTGCGCGATTCCGCGAATCAATCCGGCCGCGATCCGCCCGGAGGATCAACCCTAACGACGATCTCGGCTCGAAAATCCATCGCGCATTGTCTGTCAATCTCGCCGATTCCCCCGAACCCGGCCGCCTGTCACTCGATAGAGCGCCGGGGAAGTAGGGAAGTTGCATGGGATATTAATCGAGGATCTCACCGATGAATCGCCGAGGGTGCAGGTCGCGGGGCGGTGGCGGGCGCCCTGATTCCGCGGAGGCCACCGATTCGATCAACCCGGGCATCGACTCGCGGCTTGCTTCGAGGCTAGGCGCTGTAGGTTCGCCGATACGTCGATAGACAGTGACACCGTTTAACGGCACCCTGCGGACGCGTTAAATAAAATCGAAGCCGCGGACGTCTTTTTGCCACCCTCGACCCTCACCTATTTCCGAAAGTTTCGTCGCCGGATCGCGACGAGACGAAGGAGACGCGCGAGAGAGATCTTTCTCGATCTCCGGACAAAGATTCCGGCCAAAACGGCGCCGAAACGGGACAATTTTACATGCGGCGTTTCTTTGTCGTGGACAACGAAACAGCGGCGTTCCTTTTCTGTTAACTAACTGGACACACGACGGTGTCAAGGTTGCTTTAGCCGTTACTAGACCGAGGATCTTCGTTGAAATGTTTTAACCGAGGCAGCTTGCAATCTAAAGGTTCATTCTATCGAAGGAAGATTATTATCGTTATTATTATATTTAGACCGCGGATTTGACGCATTTATGACAAAAATGAGTAGATCGAACGACTGACGCTGTTACAAAAATTTTCTTGATTCGATTGTGTTATTTATAACTCGTTCAAATCATGCGAGACGTAATTAACGCTAGATTTACGGAGCACGAGAAACAGCTGATTTCTATTAGTTTATTCCGAGTATTATTCCGAGAGTTCAATCTGACTATTATTCTGATTTATTACTCTGAAATAAGACGTTTATTCTAATTTTTAACAAGCGTTACTGTAACATTTGCCGCAAGTAACGTATCAATTGAACAAACAACTCGTAAACGTATCTTTACGATCAGAATAATCGTAAATTAAAAAATCAGCAACATTTTGACGGGTTCCGCGAATCCAGTGTTAATTATCTACGCGTTTTCTGTTCCTTACAACGAGTGTGCAACATTTCTAATTCGCGCGAACAGCGCGCAATCCTATCGAATAAATAACTAATAAATGTTGAAGAATCAGTGACCCGTCATTTCGACGGGTTCCGCGAACCAGACGTTAACGAATACGATTCAACTAAGATCGAAATAACGGCCGTTGTAAGGCGATCAAAGGCAGTAAAGCGGCTCGCATGACTTAGAGCGCGCGCGCCCGATGGCCGGCAATCCTGTAACAGCGACGATCGTAAATCGTCATTCGCGCGGCACCCGAAGGAAGCGGAATCGGGCCTCTGTAGTCATTAATATTTCCAAAGGCTGCATGCATAACGGTAGAGGGATTACCGCGGCTCTAACGACTTTCTATTAGAGGGCACAGTGGCGCCGCCTCTGCCGGCGACGCGGCCGACGGTTCCCGCGAAAGTGCAGTTCCAGCCAATAAGTCCGGGATCCTCGAGGCGGGAATTGTCTCGGGAAGATCGGCCCGAAACGGGCGAACGAGAGAGAATCCCGAGCGAGATCCTGCGACGACCCCTGGAACGGGGATCACCCCATTTTCTCCTTTCGCCCGCCTCCATTCTTCCACGCTGCCTTCCCCGTCCCCGTCCTCCTCCGTCCCGCGGTTACGGCTCCGGGCTCGGTCCCGGCCGTTTCACCCACTCAAGTTTTCGTCCGAGCGTTCGCGAGCTAGATCCGGAAGCCGCTTCCGAAGGATCAATAATTGGGGCCGACCGCGACCGCCCTTGAAAAGCTATAGCCCGCCGGTTGGTGAACGCCGGGATTGATACGTCGTAAAAGCGCGCCGCGGATTCCTCGGATCATCGGATCATCGCCGCGGACACGGGGGATTGCGATCGTTGATCGCCCGCCCGGGATCGCGGGATCTTCGGATCCTCGGGATCGCGGACTTCGTTCTCCAAGAAAATCGAATTTCAGAAGTCGCGTCGCGTCCGGGGAGACCGATCGCCTTTTTACTGCCGCGCGAACGCGCCGCGCTCGTTCCGGACACGATCTCCTCGCAGAGTTTTGCTCGCGAGTTTTCTTCGACCCGTCCTGGAACCGGCGACCCCGTGCCCGGGCCTCGCCTCGGGGCTCCGCGAGCAAACGGGAGCGTGTCGCCGCTGCAGGGAACGCGAAAGCCGCGCGCGGTCTTGTCGCGCGCCGCGGAAGAGAGCTTGTTACGCGGCGAAACAAAAGGGACGCGGGGTGTACACCCGGTGAAGAGCAATTACGATAATTGCGACCTGGATTGTTCGGCTTTAGAACGGCGACGTCGAGCGGGCTGAAATCCGCGCCCAGCGAGACGAACTTTCGCGCTTCGGTCGCCGATCGTGGAACCTGGAGACCCCGCCGTCGACAATAGGGTCGAGGCGGACCCGGCGAGCTCGCTCGACGTTTCGGACGAGACAGATTAAAGTCCGAGCCTCGGCGATCGCCGCCGGAGGATCAAGGTCGCCGAAGGTCGAGCAAATGTCGCGAGCTGAGAGCATCGGAACGACGACGGCGGACAATCGGGCTGAATAAACATGGAGGAGAACCGTAACCTTGGAACGTGTCACTGCACCTGCGACGCAGGGTCTAGAAGCGGCTGGATACGATTAATAATTAAAGCAATGGCTACGACAACACCGACCATCAGGGTGCAGCCGGGCTATCGATCGTCCTCCTCAACCCGAACCATCCTCAACCCGAACTTACTCTGCTTTCCCCACTACATTCGCAGGCTCTCTCTCCCTCTCTCTATCTCGCTGTCTCCCTCTCTCGCTCGCTGTGACCGTTCTCTCTCTCTCTCTCTTATCGCTTTTATATCCGACGACTACTCGTCAGAAGGGTGCTCCGAGCGAGGGGCCTAAGATGCCATTCACCCGGACTCTCTTCAGTTAATTCGCGATCCGGAGGCTTTTTCGGGCCGTTTGTTCTCCGGAGTGGCCCGTTTGTACCGAAAACGGAGCCGGTCGCTTGTGTATTTCACTGACCGAGAGAGAAAGAGAGAGAGAGAGAGAGAGAGAAAAGAGTCCCACTCCCGGTTCTCCCGGAACGATTGATCGACCGTCGCCGAACGAAACTCGCGACGCAGCGGGCATCGATGCCTCCCCTGCGAACACTATAGCTCACGCGAAATTATCTTCCATCCGTATTCACGGTTCCATCCTCCTGGGCTGCCTCATCAGCCAGGAAACTGGTACCAAGCAGCCTCGACGCTGAGGCAGCGTCGTCGTTTGTATCCAAAGAACGTCGTTTCGCAATCTGCGAACCGTGTAGCGACGTTAGAGCTAAGTTTATGGAGATTGCGGCTTACCCGGGTATCTAATGTATCAACGTGGCACGATTTTTGAATGTGCCGTTCGCAGCACGATTCTGAACAGCTTCGTCCCTAGGCACTGTTACCGGGAGCTGTTACTTTCGAGCTTTATGGCGGCCGAGCTTGCGAAAGTGTGCGACCTCGTCGTGGAAGCGCTCGAAGGTTCTTTCGAAATGTTCGAGGTTAAATCGTCGAATGAGAGAATCGTCAAGTTCCAAAATTGATCTCAGCCAAAAGAGTAACGAAATTAATACTTTCACTTGCTGCCACAGTCGACAAAATTGCTTCTGTCCACCGGCATTACAGTAAATTCTCTCCAATTGTCGCTCAGGTTTGGCACGAAAATTGACTATTTGGGAGAAGGAGATACGATTATTCGAGTCTCGTGGATCTTTTTTATCGTCGTTGACAATCGGCGACTAGAAACGAGTCGCAAGGCTAGAATAGTTGGATCTCCTATTCCCAAATAGTGCATTTTTGTTTAAAAGCTGAGCAACAATTCTGGAGAATTTATTGTACTTCGTTTTTTGACATTGCAAGAGCAGTTAGCGTTGTCGGTGTTATATCTGGTTAGTTTTTTCACAATTGTGACGATTCTTACCTTCTATCGTTTATCCATTTTATTCCATCATTAATCCACAATTAAATATCTAACCATTGATCCATCGGCTTATCCTTTTTATATCAGAAAGTACAAATACAAGAATTTGTTCGAAAGAACAATAAAATTACAGAAACACAGATAATGTGTTAAGTCAAACGCAAATAATTCTAACCCCGACATAATATTATATTTCATGGAGAGTAAAGTGCATACTTACTCTCCTAAGTGCATACTTACTCGAAAGAACTCTGTGAAGAGAAAGATTGGCGTGACTTTTTTGTGACAGACAAGTCGCAAATGAGTGCACAGTAATTCAGAAACCGATTAAATGAGAAACAGCGTCGCGGAAGCTCTTTACTTCTCTAAAAATTAATAATTTATGTAATATTCCTGTTCAAATAATTCTATATTATCATCGCTGTCGCAGTAAGACGTTATCCCAACATTTATCAACGTTAGGCTAACAGAAAGGATCGTCATAACTTTTCGCCCCGCGAACACAGTGTTTCGTCCAACTCGAAGCTACGAAAACAATGTCTATACAAGAACTGACTATTATAAAAAAAAGTATCTCACGTAATACTATCAATTTCCACATTCGTACAATGCCGGAGGATATTTCAGGGTCATCTCGATTCTCTTAAATCGGGCTATGCATTTTCTTATTCGCATTACGAGCCCGCCCAGACGAAACACTCTGTGCATTAGAGAAGCTGGCCGCGGTGGCCAGGGCACGTCATCGTATCAGTTATGAACCTAGTATGAAAAGGTCGCGAAAACTTTGTACCGTAGCAAAGCGAGGCCGGCCGATTATTCGATTTCCCGGAGCGCGGCGCGGATCGCATTGCAGTCCGGGCGTAGTAAAGGGTCCTGGGAAAGGATTCCGGTAATTAATATGCAAAGCCGCGGGGAGCCGGTGCGGGCGAAGGAAACGATGACTGTGGAAGCCGAGACGGGAATAAATTACGAGGCTGGTGCGAGCGAGCGAGAGCGCAGCTTTGATCCGCGGACCGTGGAACGAAGCTGTCCCGGTGACGGAGGCTTTCGTGCCGCGGGCCTCTTTGTATGCGCGGCCGGCTAAATCCCTTTAAGAGAGCAATTTTGCGGCGCGCCGAATTAAAAGAAATCTTCCGCGGCCGGCGCAAAAGAACAGCGTCGTCGACCGGGACGCCGGTTTTTTTCTTTTTCACTCCGACGGCGTAGTCGCGCGCGATTCGCCGCCGCGATCGCGGGCTCCGCGGGGGTACGGAACCTCGGATCGAACGGTCTCCCGCACCCACCGGAGGAGAATTACGACTCGGTTTCCGGGGCCGTGGCCGGGTCTGCTCGGCGGCGGCGGCGCGTAAATAACGATAACGTCGCGCAAACAACGCTCGCTCTTGTCGAGCAGCTCGGCGTCGCCAAGTCTGCGAACTTCCGTCTCTCCTCTCGGCACGGGGCAAGGCTGCCCCCTTCTCCCCCCTCTCCCACCCTCCTCAAACCCCTACGGTTTTCTCGCGGTTCGAACGCGTGGCACGACGCCTGTACTTACTCTCTGCTCCTCGAGCAACAATCACTGCGAACTGTGTCGAGACAAGTCGAAGAAGAAGAGAAGTAGGTGACCAGAAGAAAGAGAAAAGTAAAGAAAAAGGATGCACAGAGCTAACGTCACGCAACAAACCATGCAAGACTAGCGAGAGGCTGTGGCAGGGGTGGCTGCTTTCGACGAATACATTGGGAGAAGAGCGTCGGATTATGGTGATGTCTCCCCTAATTGACGCACGGATTGCGCACAGAAATGGAGAATTTGGGAAGAGGAGACAAGATTAAACGAGCCTTGCGGCTCGTTTTTATAGTTGTTCACGATCGATGACCATAAGAAAACGAGCCACAAGGCTGGAGCAATCGTATCTCCTCTTACAAGATTGTCCACATTTGACAATGTCTGTGGACAATCTGTGCGTCAATTAGGGAGACATTATTGTACGTCGGGATCGTTCGACTTTCGAACATTGCCGTGCGATCCTGTCCCGGGTTCAGGCGACATTTTCTTCGAAATAATAACAAATTATAAACGAAATTAATATCTCGATAAATCGTTCGAATAATTTCGCTAATGAAATATTCGTTATTTCTTGTTTGCAAATGGAATGTCATTTTTCACTCGATTGTAGGTGAAAAGCAATATAATTCCGATAATGAAATATTTGTTATTCATTATCTGTAAATAAAATATTATTTTTCACTGGAATATAGGCGAAAAGCAATATTTTATAGCAACAAGTGATATTTTTGTTTCGTTCGTTGTGCGATAAGTATTAATTTCCATTTATCGTTACTATAGAACTCGTGTCCTTCTTCGTGAACTCAATGATATCGTTTAAAGAGCATTATTTATACAAAAATAAGTAACAAATAATAAGCAATTAAATGACAACTAACAAGTAACAATTAAAATTATACAATATAAAAATATATTTAAATCGTATTAAATCGTATGTATATATATCATATAAAATTGTATACAAAATTGTATACAAACAAGAAATAAATTGCACTATTCAGAACAATTACTTTAGATCTACGCATATAAACGATAAATAATTACGTCGTTCATTTAAACAGCCGGATAACAAATAATTTCCCATCTGACCGACTATTCGAGCGAATATTTTTACTCGATCGAGACACGAGATTCGTGCGGTGTTTTATGTTTTATTGGCCACGGTGTGTCGTCGCGGAAAAATCGTTCGCGCGCGGCAATGTTTGAAGAGGAAACGAGCTCGACGGCTCGTCGACGGTGTGCTAGAGATGATGAGGGCTCGTTGGGGGGACTAGGACAGGGCGGTGCGTGTGGGTGGCATGCCTCATTCAGCATTCCTGCGTTCTCGCGCGTCGGATAACCGAGACAGTGGGCTGTGCATGCACCGTTAACGGGACCGTGCGCTACCGTTTCACGTTCCTTCGTCAAAAGGGCTAACGATGTCGACGGCCGACGGTTCTACAGTGTCGTGTCAGTCCGCGATAAAGCGTCGGTCGGTTGATCGAGGGTGTCGGGTCGGTCCATTGGTGTCGCTCTCAACGCTAATGGTGTGGGCGATCGTGATCGGTAACGCATCAACGGCGCATAGAACGCCTTGTTTATTCGAGCCGTTGATTATCCCGAGCAGCGGTAACGCGAGAAACGCGGCCGCATATGTCCTCTACGCATATCTACGCACGAGCAAAATAAGATGGTCTTCTAAGATTGATCTAAATTTCTAGCTATGTATGTATTACAATATTGATATACGTATATATATTATGTATATATATATATGAAAATTTAGTTATAATTATAATAATATCGATGTCTTGGCTAAATAGTAATAGCTAAAATGTTACACTAGTTTCTCAGCTATATGTGGATTATGTCAATTTTGTTATGTACCTGGCTCAGGCTTCTAAAGCTACTTGTACTGGCGCTGCGGGCCTGTAAACACAAGTACAGTACAGGTCACCAATCACCACACAACACTGCAGTTGGAAAAGTACAAAATAGAGATACAGGTATAGTCAGTATAAACAGATACAGTAATGTCTCTCTAATTGACGCTCCGATTGTCCACAGAAATAAACAATTTAGAAAGATGAGATACGATTATTCGAGCCTTGCGGTTCGTTTTTATAGTTACGAATCTGTCTCTTATACACATCTAGATGTGTATAAGAGACAGCTATAAAAACGAACCGCAAGACTCGAATCTCCTCTTCCCGAATTGTCCATTTTTCTGCACAATCCGAGCGTCAGTATGGGAGACATTACTGTAGATCTGTCTCTTATACACATCTAGATGTGTATAAGAGACAGCTATAAAAACGAACCGCAAGACTCGAATCTCCTCTTCCCGAATTGTCCATTTTTCTGCACAATCCGAGCGTCAGTATGGGAGACATTACTGTAGATCTGTCTCTTATACACATCTAGATGTGTATAAGAGACAGCTATAAAAACGAACCGCAAGACTCGAATCTCCTCTTCCCGAATTGTCCATTTTTCTGCACAATCCGAGCGTCAGTATGGGAGACATTACTGTAGATCTGTCTCTTATACACATCTAGATGTGTATAAGAGACAGCTATAAAAACGAACCGCAAGACTCGAATCTCCTCTTCCCGAATTGTCCATTTTTCTGCACAATCCGAGCGTCAGTATGGGAGACATTACTGTAGATCTGTCTCTTATACACATCTAGATGTGTATAAGAGACAGCTATAAAAACGAACCGCAAGACTCGAATCTCCTCTTCCCGAATTGTCCATTTTTCTGCACAATCCGAGCGTCAGTATGGGAGACATTACTGTAGATCTGTCTCTTATACACATCTAGATGTGTATAAGAGACAGCTATAAAAACGAACCGCAAGACTCGAATCTCCTCTTCCCGAATTGTCCATTTTTCTGCACAATCCGAGCGTCAGTATGGGAGACATTACTGTAGATCTGTCTCTTATACACATCTAGATGTGTATAAGAGACAGCTATAAAAACGAACCGCAAGACTCGAATCTCCTCTTCCCGAATTGTCCATTTTTCTGCACAATCCGAGCGTCAGTATGGGAGACATTACTGTAGATCTGTCTCTTATACACATCTAGATGTGTATAAGAGACAGATCTACAGTAATGTCTCCCATACTGACGCTCGGATTGTGCAGAAAAATGGACAATTCGGGAAGAGGAGATTCGAGTCTTGCGGTTCGTTTTTATAGTTACGAATTGTCAACAATTATAAAAACGAGCCGCAAGACTCGAATCTCCTCTTCCCGAATTGTCAATTTTTCTGCACAATCCGAGCGTCAGTATGGGAGACATTACTGTAGATAGACAGACAGATAGATGGATAGACAGAAAGGTAGAAATATAAACAGATAGAAAGATAGATAGAAAGATAAAAAGATAGATAGATAGGAAGATAGATAGATAGGAAGATAGATAGATAGAAAGGTAGATAGATAAATAGACAGAGATGGTCATCAGTAACAGAATCGAGCGTGGAGATAGATTGGAAGGCTGAACTGCAATCGTCGAAAGCGCCATAAGCTCGCCTCATTCGTTGAAATTCTATACAGAAATCCTTCCTCGACCCAAGGTCTCTTCGAGACATCTTCGAGATTTCTTCCTCGAAATTTCAATTCCACAAAAATCCTCGGACAAGATATCTAGATTGCACCGAGGCACTGATTTCTGTACAAATTTACAAGAGATTAGGCGAGCACGAGCACGCAACTTCGAGCGACAGCGAACCGCGAGAACGTTGTACAATCGCTCGCATAAATGTTCGTCCACTTACCGCACTCAGTTCGTCTGTAGCTGAAAGTAGCAAAGTATGCAGATAAAAATTTGCAAAAAGATGAACGAGAAGACATATAGAACATTTTGCCGGATTCGTAATTTAATTCGTTCACAACGATCCATGACACCATCCATAATCTCGGTATAATTTTCCAGCATGAATAATGATTACGAATCCGGCAAAATCTCTTAGCTTGTACAGCTTCGCCCGTTGCACTACGATGCGTCGGATTGCATAATTCTTTTTTTGCATAATTTAAATTTATTGAAATTCCGTCTTGCAGCGTTTAGTTTTAAAAATCACAGAATCATCCGGACAAATGTCGTCGTATTTAGCATAATTGAGCTTGATTATAACTTGAGCATAATTCCTGCATCCGTCTGAAATTTTCTCTGCATATGTTGCTACTTCCACGAGCGCGTTCACCGAGTGCAGCGGTTGAACGAGCGCTTGTGCATCCGCCTGCACGGACGCGCCTGGTTCCAGCGTAGATTCTAGATGCGACAGACAAGGAGAAGGAACGTTGATGCGCTGTCATAACCGCGCTGAACATAGCGGGCAGGGGAAGCCTCTTGGAGCGCGTTCCTCGCGATCAATCTGCGTCCGCGAGGAGACGTCGGCTTCCGAACGAGGCGGGAGAGACTTTCCTTGCGCAATGTATGGACGACCCGTGTACGATATCCGTGTAGGTACAGCGTATCAACGAACAAGAGAGACAGCAGTGCACACCGAAACACACACATATGTAGTAGATAGACGTGGGAGAGCGTAGCGTGAGTTTTGTTCTCAGTGTCGGAGAGTCGCGCGAGAGGCCAGTTTTCGTGACAGGTGTTCAGCGCGTTTTTCTGTACAACCAAAGCATTCCAGAGAAGCGGGAGGAGGTGTCACGGTGAGCGGAGAATTCAGGGGAGAAGAGTGAAAAGGTTCGCGTTAGATTTCTTCCGTGGATCATCGATCCAGAGGTGGTCCGCATGAATCTCGGTCCAGCAGACGCACGCACGGTCGCATGTTCGATCGTGATCGTTGCACCCTGAAACGTCGAGAATATCGCCGAATATCGCGAACGAACCACGTTTTCGTATAACGTCGACATCAATCGCGTGCTTCGTCGAGTCGTAAATCGTACAGGGTGTTCAAATACGTACGAATCGAACGAAACACGCAACTCCCGAGGCGGATCGGCGACGCTTTTTCCCTGGCAAAAATGCCCTCGACTTTAGGAATCGTTCGTTTCATTCGATTCGAACAGTTTCGCGACACCCTGTATATTGGAAACCTTAACAATTCAACGGTTTCAAGTACAATTTCGCTACGACGAAAGTTCTCCGTACCGCGCGATCTCCGCGCTCGCCTCTTTCGACGTCGGCCTTTCGACTCTTTTTAAACGCGACGACCTCGCCGATGGAAAAATGTAGCGAAATAAACGGATTGGCTGGTCGGGGCGCAATTATATCCGTGATCCTTCGCGGGATTTCCATCCGCGTCCCCTTCCGCGAACGCCTTATCAATCCGGGGCCGATTCGTGCTCGAGCGGCCGATGGATTTCAAAAGCGCACGTATTCAGTCTCGCCTTTCAACCGACTCGAAATCACGTACCCACCGTTGCCGATCAAAGAGCAATCGCTCTTTCGAATCCAGGTCCGATCGAGAGAGACCCGATAGAAAACGGGGACAGGTGTGTGCCGCTCGGTATTTCCATCGCGGGTATTTCCTCTCTCTCTCTCTCTCTCCCTTCCGGACCGATTGAAACGTTCTGAACACGCTTGAACGTCGACCCCGCCCAGATTCGACGATCGTTAACCGAACGGTGAAAAGAGTGAGAGACTCTCTCGCAGTGCTCTCCCGATAATTATTATCGGAACGTTTGGAAAAACGACGCCCTCGAGCCACCCCCGCGAAAAAAGCCCCGAGCACTCGTCGAACGCGTTTTCACGCCTCAATTATACGCTCGTTACGCCGTGAAACCGTTCGATCTGTTTCTCTATGGTTTCACGGGCTTGTTCTACAAGGAAACCGGTGTTTATCCGAAACCGGCCGCGCCGGAAGCCGACGTCGTTATATACGGCCCCGCGTTCCCGAGGATATTCTCCCCGGAGAATCTGTGCCACCGAGGGGGAAAAACCAGCGCGCGGCCAATTGCACGGAAAAATCCGGCCGCATTCGCGCGATTGCGTCGCGAGATACGCGGCCGCGATCGCCGCTCTATCGAATTCCGATCGCGTTCGCTCGTTTCGCGGAATATTCGCGGAGATTCCGTTCCGAGTTTTCTATCCCCCGAGCTCCCCGGGACTCGACGACGCCCGCCTTTCGTAACTGCGAAACGGTTTAACCCTTTCACTGCGAATTACATATATGTACGTTCACGCGAGTCGAACGGTACGTAGGAAAGACGTAAATATACGTTCGATAGATTTTGCGGCAAGCTTCGCTGTTGCCCGAACTTGTATCGTCGCGTTGAACTTGGGTGAAACTCGAATGATACTTGTTATTCGTTATGGACAGACCGAGGATCTTCGCATGAAATAGAAAATTTCGAAGCCGATTGTGAGAAACGGAAATTGAATGATAATAGATCAGTGAATGAGAGAAGAGGTTATTGGAGGCAATAGAGAAAGAGACGGAATGGAGAGAGAATGGAAGGATATACAGTAATGTCTCCCTAATTGACGCTCAGATTGCCCAGAAAAATGGACAATTTAGGAAGCGGAGATACGATTATTCGAGCCTTGCAGTTCGTTTTTATGGTTTCGAATTGTTAACAACTATAGAAACGAGCTGCAATGCTCGAGTAATCGCATCTCCTCTTCTCAAATTGTCCATTTTTGTGCACAATCTGAGCGTCAGTTAGGGAGACATTACTGTAGAGAAGGGAGAAGGTGGAGGGGGCAGGTAAAGGAATTCGATGTATGGAATTCGGGAAGATAAAGTTAAGGAGACGGAGCAGGAGATGACAGAAACATAGAGATGCAAGGAAAGGGAGATAAAAAGCAGAGATAGAGCGAGAGAAAGAAAGAACAGATTCATTTAAGAGTCAGTCGTAAAAGTTATATCTATATGACAGGTTTAAGCGGTAATTTGAATTTCAGTTTCAATCATTAAAAAATACTACAAATAAAAATGAATCGTTTCCTTTAAAAA